GCCGGAGGGGCTGAGCTGTCTCCAGACTGATTCCACAGCACGGCTGGTGCCTGTCCCTGTCCCTGCCCCCGCCGGGTGCCAGCCCCAAGGGACCAGAGCTGCTCTTCAGAGGCTGCAGCTGCTGCATGTTTCGTACTGCCTCTTCCTCTTTTCCCCGCTGCTGTTTTTGTTTTGTTTAAGAGGCTGGGTTACGAATTTTAAACAGGCTCCTGAAAAACCCAATTACCTCCAGAAGACAACCTGATAAAAGCTGCCTAAGTGGCACTGTGGAAATCGCCTTGTGCAGCAGCTGAGGGAAAACCAACATAACAAAGCCTTTGGAAATGGAGTTAACCACTTTTAATCCCTCAGTGCAATGAGAAGGACCAATAATTATTTTCTGCAAAGATGTTGGGGGGCGGATAAGTGAAATAACTGCCCTGTGCTAATGCGTGAGAGCAGGCTAGGCTGGCAGTGCTGCAGGGATGGGTGCAGATATTCCCTCTGCCTGGGAGCTTTGCAAGGGCCCGCAGAGGCTGTGACCTTGCAGGGTCCCTGTCTGGCAGTCAGGGGACAATGGGGACGATGCCAGCAGGCAGGTGCCACTCAGGCACCTCAGTTGCTGACAGTGGATGCTCTGGCCGATGTGGTGGCACCAGCCAGCCCCATTCCCTCCCTGGGCACCAGCCTGGAGTGGAGAACGCAACTGCTGGGGCCCTGGCACCTATGCTAACTCCTCAGAGGCGACTTGGAGGGCTTGGCGGTGCTGAGAGCTTCCTCCTCCATTTGGCTACGGTGCTGCTACACCAGTTCCTCACACCTCTCCACATCCCTTCCCTTCCTGCCTCCCCCAGCAGCTCCAGGCAGCCACCCAGCAAGTGACACTGCCCAGGATGATGCCAAGGAACAGCTGGGCCTAAAGGAGTGCCCATGCTGGGCACAAGCACCAGGAGCATCCCCCAAACACCAACCAGAGCTAGCTCAGCTCTGGGACTGTGGGGGTCCCCTTTATCCATCTCTGTCCCAGGAGCAGGGGTGTGCAGGGCAGGAGACAATGCCCAGGGCTGGTGACAAGTCCTTGGCTGCTCTTCCCACGAGAGCCTGGCCAGCAGGACAGAGTTGGGTGCCCACCAGCCTGGCAGCTGTGGTTGCACTGCCGGCACCGGCAGCTGGAGTGCTGGGGCGGGTGGCCTCAGCTCACACGAGCCTCGTGCTTCCCGCAGCAGCAGGAACGGGGGCTGCTTCGCCCACCTCCCCCTGGCCACTCCACACCCCACGTGGGGACAGGGCTTGGGGACAGTACTCCAGGCCACTGATTCCCAAGCCTGACTTAGCACTGGGCACTGGCACAAGGGATGTCCCTGCCAGTTTGGCCTCAGCTCATACTGGGAGCAGTCCTCTGGCACACTGGGATCTACTGGAGGAGGATGTGCTTAATGAGCCGAGGCATCTCCAAAGATTGAAAGACTCAAGGACCCATCCCAGGAACAAAAGGAGGCGTTTGTCAGGCGCTGAGAGACGGGCTCGTTAATTCCTCCTGGCTGTCACACTTATCTGTAATGAATTTGTGCTCCGCTGTATTATTTTTAATACAATAGGAGCGGTGCCGCCCGCCCACCGCCCGGCTGCCGGGAGCGCTGACGTCAACGCCCGGAGCAGGGCTGCCGCAGGACGGACGGACGGACAGACGGACGGGCCAAGCACAGGCCTGTCTTGCCGCCCACATACCCGTCCCACCAGCTGCCAGCCGGCAGAGCGGGGCTGGGCACGAGGGCAGGAGGCTTTTTTACCTTGGAGGTGGAGAAAGGAGTTGTTGGTCAATGCCAGGCTGAGGGCTCGGAGCTGGAGCAGATAGGCTGTGCCTGGGAGTGATTTTGGGAGCAGTGAGAGCGGATGAACAAGATGGACAAGTCCCTGATGTGCTGTCCCTGTGCTGAGAGTTGTCCGTGGCAGTGGCCGTGCGTTGAGGCAGGAGCTGGCAGCGGGTGCGCACACACAGATCTGTCGGTGCCGCATCTCTGTGGAGGTGGCACTTGCAAGCCAGTTTCGGTCCCCCGGCTGTGAGATGTCCCCTCACATCCTGCATCACCCCCAGCCTTCCCACAGCAGCCCCAGCAGCGCCGGCAGCATCTCCGCAGCCCACCCCAAGGGGCTTATGGGGCAGTTGCAGCCTGTCCCAGTTCCTTGCCGCTTCCCACATTTAGGGTGGGACATCCCTGAAAGGACCCTGCACCCAGACCCTCTCCAGCACCCTTCTGGGTCCCCGCACGCTGCCACTCCAGAGCCTCACTATTAAACTCCAGCTATCCCAATGCCCAAGCTCCAAACACCCCTAATGTGATTCGCACAGGGCTCATCTTTTTCTCTTAAGAACCCAGGGCTGGATCAATTAGGAGGCACCAGCTGCCACTCTGAGGAGCACACACCGTCTCTATGCATCGGGACAAGGGTGGGAGACCCGGGGAATCCTGTCACGCACTGCAGAGGATGAACACAGGAGGGGCTGCAGAAGCCCTTCTCCCTTCGGGCAGGTGCAGGGGGCAGGCGGGGTGGTGCACTCCCTTTCCTGCCCAGGAACCCTTCGCTGAAGGGCGTTCTGAGCACCACGGGCATCATATCCTCGATGCCACCGCAGACCCCCTCTGGCATCCCCTCCCTAAGCACCCCACACCCGCCCTGGGAGCCCCGCGGGGGGAACAGCACCAAAAATCCAAAGCTGGGGCCCCGAGCGGCAGCTCTTGGCGGAAGGCGGAGGGAGGGTGACATGATTTATCAGGGACTTTAATTAAACTCCAGCAGCCCCACATCGCTGCAGAGGAGGCCGGAGTGCTGCGGGTCGAGGGGTCGAGTGAGGGAGCGGGGGGCTGCGGGACTAGGAGCCCTTCCGGCTGATTAATGCCTGGTTTCGCCCGTTAATTGCCGCGGCGGTGAATCATTAACCCTGCCCAGGAGGCGCTCGCCCCGTCCCTCCGCTGCGGGAGCTCGGGGTGGTGTCCGAGGGGGCTCCGTCCGCAACCTGGTGAACGGTGCGGGGCTCCCCGGGACGTTTCCCCGGGCGTCGTGCGGCGTTTCCCGGGAGGGGTCCCGCATCCCACCGCCCCCGCGGGGGGCCGGTCGGCGCGGTGGCGGGGGGTGTCGCTCCGGGCGGGCCCACGCGTGCCGCCGGGGGCGGGAGGGGGCCGGGCCGCGGCGGGGCGGGGCGGGGAGGAGCGGTGGCAGCGGCGAGCGGCGGCGGAGCCGGTGAGTGCCGGTGCTGAAGGGACAGCGCCGCCGCTGCGGCACCGGGCGGCCCTGGGCGGCGGGCGGGGCCCCGCGCCGCAGACACCGGGATGGGGTGGGAGGGTGAGGGGTCCCCGCGGCACCGCGTCCCCTGCGCGACCCTCGCCCCCCGCGCGGTTCCCGCCTTCCCCGTGTCCCCGCGTTCCCCCTGTCCCCGGTGTCCCTTGCGCCCCCGGTGCGTGTCCCCCGACCCGGGTTCCCTCCTCGTCTTCCTTGTGCCTGCGCCCCACGCTTCCCCCTCCACGGCGGCGCGCCCCCCGGGTCCCGCACCCCGCTGCGGTCCCGGTGTCCCCCGCATGCCGGGTGTCCGCTACGTCCCGTGTCCCCGCTGTCCCCCGCCTTCCCGGCGCCCCCCCGTGTCTCCTGCGTCTCTGCAGCCCCCGTGGCACCGGTATCCCGGTGCCTGCTGGTGTTCTCCCTTTTGCTGTGTTTCCCCTGCGTCGCCCGTGCACCTCCTGATGTCCTCCACGTACCCCGCTATCGCTACGAGCCCCCCCCGCCACGCCACCCCAGTGTTCCGGTGTTCCTTGCACCTTGCCTACGGCCCCGGTGTCTCTGTGCTCTCCGGTGTTCCCCCATCCCCGCTGCCCCTCAAGTCCCCGCTGCGGTCCCAGGGCTCAGCACTTACTGCCCAGAGGAGCCCCCCCCCCCACGTTGTCGCGGGGTGCCCCGGGGCTGGCAGCAGCAAACTTCCCGGGGTCACAGCTCGTGCAGTCCCACTAGCCCCCGTGGGGTTCCAGGGAGCCGGGACGGGGGTAACCGCGGGGCTGCGGCACCCACCGGGCACGTACATACACACAAACACACACGCAGACTGCAAACTGCACCCCCAGCCTGCAGCACCCCACTCACGGGGCATGTGGGGGGCACGGGCGCCCCACACACACACCCTCCGCCGGTAATCCCCCGCATGCACACATACACGGAGCACACAAGCAGCCTGCAACACCCCCACACGTACACACACGCGACACAGTCTGCAAATTTGTGCGCACAGCCCCCCGTGCAGCCTGCAAACCCACGGACCTGCACACAGAACCCTCTCCACACTCACACTAACACCGCCCGCAGCACCCCCCCAAGTGTGCAAACTCACACACACCCGCAGCACAAACACCCAGCGCACAGGCACAGCCCGCAAACCTGCGTGCACACACATCCGCAGAGCCCGCAGACCCCAAAACTCGCACACGCTCAAAGCTTGCAAACAGGCTGCAAACCCGCACATCACGGGGGAACACGCAGTCTGCAGCCCCACAAACTTATCCACACGCGTGTGTGCACGCACCCCCCATGCAAACACAGCCTGCACCCACCCGCAAACACACCTCTTGAGCAAACACAGCCTGCACGGAGAGCTCACACACACACGGCGCGCACCCGCTCCGTCCTGCACAGGCAGTGCCCCTGCACGGTGTCACCCACCCGCAGCACCCGCAGGGATCACACACGCAGTCACAGGCTGCTGCCTGCAACCCCTGCAGCCCCCAAGCACTGCCGCAACCTGCCAGCAGCCTCTTCCCCATCCCTCTGCAGAGCACTGGCACTGCCGTAGGCACACACACGCACACACAGCACCCCGGGTCCGACTGCGCCACGCTGGCACCCCCAGATAAGGTCTGTCACCCCCTCCCACAAAGCAGGGGTGCATGGTGGCGTGATGGGCCCCCATCCCGCCAGCCCCCAGGCAGCACACGAGGGCTTCTGGTGCCACACCAAGGGCAGTGCTGAGGTGGAACATCCCTCTGGAGTCGCTGCCTTAGTGCTTCCACAGGTCCTCAAGGCCAGAAGGGATGTCGGGAGGGGGCTGAAGGGAGCAGGCACAGTCACTCTCTGCCTGCAGACCCCAGAACCTCCCTCTGCACATCCTGGAAGGCATTTGGGCTGAGGATGCAGAGGGTGCGAAGTGCAGCCCCAGAGATCATTCCATCCCTCAGCCTGGGCAGTAGGGAACCTTGGCATGGTATCCCCAACTCTGTCCTTCTCTGCCTGCACAGGTGGCCCAGGTCAACAAGCCCGGACAGCGGTGGATGAGCGCTGGGCACTGGCCTAGCCACACGCACACACCGGCACCATGGACTTCGTCATGAAGCAAGCGCTGGGCGGTGAGTGGGAGCTGTTCCCCCCTCAGGGTCCCTCCTCCGGGAGCAACGCTGGCCCAGCACCGCCGTAGTGCAGCGGGAGGGACATGGCAAGGGGACAGAGTCATACAGAGAGCACCGGCAGTGGGGACCTGCTGCTGGAGCCCTCCAGGTTTCCCATTTCCAGTGCCGTCAGCGGCTGGCTGGGGAATCCTGGCTTTTCTGCCACTAGGTGGGATTCCCCAGCGGGTCCCCTGGGTGCTGAAGAAGGAGCTGCTGGCGTCTCCCCCAGATGACACTGAACTAGGGCAGAACAGCCAGCCTGTGGGACTCCCCATCCCCACAGCCTCCCGAACCCACTTCGGTACAGGTGGCCCAGGGGATGTCCCAGGTCCTCCTTGCTCTCCCTGCCGCTGCAGGGACTTCGGCAGCAACACCAGGCTGCAGCTTCCTTGGGGACCAACCAAGGATCTTGTTATGCGCAGGGGCCACCAAGGACATGGGGAAGATGCTGGGGGGCGAGGAGGAGAAGGACCCCGATGCGCAGAAGAAGGAGGAGGAGAGGCAGGAGGCCCTGCGCCAGCAGGAGGAGGAGCGGAAAGCCAAGCACGCCCGCATGGAAGCGGAGCGGGAGAAAGTCCGGCAGCAGATCCGTGACAAGGTGGGCACACACCTCCCCTGTGCCCGCCCCTGCCCGTGGCAGCCGGGGTGGGGCTGGGACAGGGAGCCGGCACGGCCGGGAGGAGGGTGGCCCAAGTCGGTGGCGATGGGCACGGGGCACAGCACAGGCAGTGCCCACTGCCTGCCCTGCTGAGAGCCTGTGTCCTCTCAGTACGGGCTGAAGAAGAAGGAGGAGAAGGAAGCAGAGGAGAAAGCTGCTCTGGAGCAGCCGTGTGAGGGCAGCCTGACGCGCCCCAAGAAGGCAATCCCAGCGGGCTGTGGGGACGAGGAAGAGGAGGAGGAGGAGAGCATCCTGGACACCGTCCTCAAGTACCTGCCCGGCCCGCTGCAGGATATGTTCAAGAAGTAACAGCACCGTCAACCCTGCCATAGGGTGCTGGGGCACGGGCGCCCTCTCTCCTACAACTCCTCCATCAGTTCCCTTGGCCCCGGAGAGGGGGTTCCCACACCCCCTCCCATCCTCTCCTGCCCTGTCCCCCAACCAGACCAAAAGCCCGCCCCGTCCCGTCCAGGCAGGGCCCCCCCCACCACGCCAAAGGGGAGCAGCCCTGGCCGGACAGGGCGAACCGGGACCAAATGCACTGATGTAACCTCGCGGCAGGCTAGGGGCACCCAGGCCCTACCGGCCCCCCCGGGGTGGCTCCTCGTGCCCCCTGCCCTGCCCCTTCTGTTCTCCCAGGGGACCCCAGTAGGCCTGTGCTCGCCTGCCCTCGTCCCCAACACTGCCATCCCCCTGCCCCCCTCCCGCCCTGGGCCAAGCCCAAAGCACAAAGCCAGGCGCCCTGCCCGCAGCTCCCCCATCCCCGGTCGTCGGGCACGGGGGTCCCCCGGGGCTGCCCCGTGTGCCCCTGCATCGGGGGGTTGGAGGGGACCCCCCCTCCCCGCATCTCTGGCCCCATAGTTAAAGCCATATCAGTTAGACTGCAATACTTCAGCACCGGGAGGAGCGGGCGCCGCGCTCCGCCAACCGTGTACAAAGGCACGCGCGGGGCAGGGACCCCCCTGCCTCGTCCCCCCCCGTCCCCGCCGCTCGCTCGTCTGTGTCTTGGCCCCGCTGGCCCCCGTTCTCGCATTAGTGTCTCTGTGCCAGGGTGCGCCCCGTCGCTCCATGCGTCCTCGTGTCCGCTGCTCAGACTCCCACCCCCGAGTCCCCACTGTCCCCGGGGGTCACCCGCGGCGCCCCACGCCGCGCTGCTGGGACCCTCGCTCTGCCCCCTGCAATAAAGCCAGCGTGGGGCCGAGGGCTGCCGGGCCAGTCCCGGGCTGGGAGTACCCGGCTGCCCTCACCTGATGCTGGACACATGGGTCCCCAGGCCTGGGAAGGGATCCCTGGGCAAGCACCCCAGGATGTCCCAGGAGCTGCTGCTTGCACCCCAACGGGGCGAGGCAGGGGCACACCCTCATCCCGGCCTGTCTCTTGCCGCACCGTGCTCCCCCCTCCCTGTGCTCCCCCTCAGCCACGGCCCCCAGCCGCTCACCAGGGCCCTCCCAGGAGGTGGCGAGCAGCTCGGGGCCCCACAGACATGCTGTGACCATCCTGCTCGAACTAGTCTTTGACAAACTAATAAAATAAAGGGATTTGTACATTGCTCCGGCCTCTTCTCATCCATTTCTTTCCTGAGCCCCCATGTCAGCTCCCTCACGCCACCAATCTCAGGGCTGATACCTGGCAGCTCATCAACATGGGCTGGCCTCCAGCCACGCCTGTACAGGTGCAGGAAGCAGCCACATGTGGCTCCCAGAGTCCTGCTCATTCCTGCTGCCTTCCTACTCCACAGGCATCTATACTTTCTGGGGCTGGGGACAAAAGGGGAGTCCCACAAGACATAGCATGAGGGTTTCTCCCCCTTCTCCTTGACTTCAGGACTTCCCTCACTGAATGACTGGGGATACCCAGGGGTCCAAGGGCTGTTTCTGAGGGGTCACAGCCTTCTACCACTCCAAGAGAGGAGCATGAAGCTCTGGACATGGGGCACCTCCTGCCCCCACACCAAGGCAGAGGCCCTAGCAGTGCCCAGGCTTGGCACAGCTCGGGAGGCTTGAGCTTGGTGCCAGCCTCAGCTCTGACTGATGTGCCATCATTTACCAGCAAAGAGCTCAGCTGTTACCCAGGCGGCATCAGCAGAGCAGTCACCCAGAAAAGCTTCTGTCAGAAGGAAACATGAAGGTAGAAAACGGCAGAGATCTCGCAGGCAAGGTCTCCATCACAGGCAAGCTGTGCCCTGGCTCGACGGTGCAGGTGGGGAGAAATTCCCATCGGCCTCCCTGGGAAGTGGGGACAGGGCAGGGGAAGAGCTCTGCTCGGGGCTGGTGGCCAGGGCATGGAACCTGCAGCGTCCTCCATGTCCCCATCGGAGCAGGGTCCCCGCTGTCACCTGTCCCCACCGTGGGGACGCAGCGCCCCCTGGTGTGGTGACAGCGCAGAACAGGGGACACAGAGAGCGGGGACAGCCAGCGGGGACAAGAGGGACAATCCTCGACAGACCCCTCTCCAGGGCCTTGCTATGGCCAAGGGAGGGACGCAGGGGAAGAGAGAGCAGCTCAGCATCCTCCTTCTTCCCCCCGCAAATAGCCACAGGCACCTTCATTAAGGAAGAGGATTTATCAAAATTAGAAAAAGACACCACAAATATTTTTAAAAAGCCCCATCTGGGAAAACATCTAGCAGTTCAAACCCCCACACCCTCCCCTCATTGCCCCAGTGCAGGGAAGGGACATGGGATGTCCGGGAAGGGGAGAGACAGGCTGTGCTCCCACAGCTGCCCTTGCCACCAGGCTTTTGGGGACAAGGGGACAGTCACATATCTCATCACTGCTGGGGAGCCTGGCCAAAGCAGAGCCATGGGAGGCTCCTCAGCAGCCACCTTCAGTGACTGATTTTCTTTGGCCACTTGCCTTTGGAACAAGCCCCCTACACCCCAGAGAGGAGATGGCAGAGGGGGGGCCCTGCCAGCACCCCCCATTCTCCCCAGCACATAGCTGCCTGTTTATAAAAGCTCCCAAGAGCAGGACACACTGAGCTGAGCCCGAGGTCACAGCCCTTGCAGGCTGGCAAGGAGATGAGCCAGCTCCTTGCCCCACCTGTGCTAAGTTCCCACCCGCAAGAGCAGGCAGGTGCTGCCTCCCCGGGTGCAGCAGCTTCATCAGGAGTCGTTGGGGAGCCCAAAAAGCTTGACAGTGCCAGCCTCCCTGCTGCTGTCGTATTTGCCATCTTTGTCGTCACAGGCAAAGGCCAGCAGCGGCCTCTTCGGGTGCCAGGCCACTGTGAAGGTGGGGGACTCACACTGCACCTCCCAGAGCTTCTCTCCTGCATGGAAAAGGAGCCGTGTCAGCCTGGAGAGCCTCCAGCCCCCTCTGCTGCTCACCTCCCCAGAGCCCAGCACCTGCTGCTTCCCTCAGCAGAGGAGAGGCAGCACAAATGCTGCTCCAGCGCCTTTTAGTCACCCAGTGACAAGGTACAGACATGACAGGCATGTCTGCCGCAGACTACTGAGGCAGAGGCTCCCCCTCATGGCACTCTGCTCTGCACAGGAAACTCTTCCTTAGCAGGCGGATTCTCCCTGTGTCCTCCCAGCTCCACCAGCACTTCTCCATCCAATTCCCTCCTTGCTGCTCCCCAAAATAAAACCATTACCTGTCTCCACCTCAGCAATGTCAATGAAGTGATCTTCTGATGCTGAGGCCAGCATCTTCCCATCGTGGCTAAAGCTCAGCGTCCGCACGGGCCAGTCAAGCCTGCAGCAACCGAGGGGAGCAGACAGTGAGGCACTGCCACCACAGCCCCCAGAGAAGGAGGAAAACAATTTTGGGACAGCTCTACCTACCTGGAGAAGCATCTCACACACACCAGCTCATCCACATCCCAGAGACTGACCAATGCATCAGCACTGCCTGTGGCAAAGTACTTCCCCATGGGATCAAACTTGATGCAGATGCAGTTGGAAGGATGGGCGTTGATGGACTGGATGGGTTTCAGCTCTGGATAGCTGTGGAGGTGAAGGGAGAAGGTAGGGAGCAGTGAGAGAAGCACAGGAATTCCCTAGAGCAGGGCAGACATGAGGCACACCAGGACTGGAAGCAAACCCTGCCGAGGCAGGAGACACTGGGTGTCCAGTGAACGAGGCAAAGCATCAGGGACCATTTCGGGGAGCTGAGCCCAGCCCACAGCTGTGGCAATCTCAGCTCCAGGCAAGCTCATTCCCACCAGAGGGCAGGAGATTGCTGGGATGTGGGGGCTTGGGTTTCCCAAAAGCAGCAAAGGCACTTGCAAATGACTGAAGCCAGCCCAGCCACCCCTCCCACCAGCAGCCACAGGCACCTGCCTGAGGATGTTGATGCAGCCATTCCCATTGGTGAGGAAGAACATGTTGTTATCGTTGTTCCACGAGATCTCGTTCACCTCAAACTTGAACTGTTCCTCAGCTTTGGAGCGGTGTGTCTTGGCATCAATGAAGGTGACCACATCATCCTTGTTCCCCACAGCAATGGTCTGCCCATCAGGGCTCCAGCAGATGTTGATGTTCTCACCTGAAGGGACAGAAAGGCAGCAGGTCCCACTTCCACTCCAAACCATTCCCAAATGAGAAAGACTGACAGTTCTTCAGTCTAACATACAAACCCTGCACAGTAGCTATCCACTAAAACCAAACTGGTGAGAAGTACAGCTTGGAAACAATATGCCACACCCCATATCAGCCAAGATGGGACCACAGCAATCACCTACAAGGTGAAGCCAAAGATCCTCTGAATCCAGTCATCTCTGACATCCAGAAAAATCAGAAACCATCATTACACAAGGTGAAGCCAAAGATCCTCTGAATCCAGTCATCTCTGACATCCAGAATAAGCAGAAGAAAAAAAAAAAAAAAAAGCCTTTGAATAAAGGTAAGAACATGGCAGGTTGCAGTTAAACAACCTTACAATGCCATTTCCAGCCTAACAATTCACAAATGGACATTTCCAAGAGCAGAGATGGTATCTGGGTTAAGCACCACATGAATTCAAATTGTTTTTCTGAATCCACATAAACTTTTGTTTCCACCATGGCTCTCTGTAAACATGCTTTTCCCTAGTCTCCAGCCTCATAGCCCACTGACTCCAGAGACTAGTACAAAGGACATTTTAACAGCCAGCACCAAATTTCAGTAGTTCTACCAGTCCTGACCCCACAGTAAATCAGCTCTCACACGATGAGTGCAACACAAATATAAAGCACTTAGCAAAGATGTCCCAACCAGAAGTAACCACAGGAAAGGTCCAAAGCTCTGTGCCACTATAGATGACACTGTAGATGGGTCCCACACAGCTGAGGTCCTGCTGGGACCCATCTGGCACGCTGGGAAGGCAGGGACTCACCTTTGGTGTTGACAGTGGCGATGCACTTGGTGGTGCGGACGTCCCAGATGCGGATGGTTTTGTCCCCTGACGCTGTGACGAAGAGGTCAGGGTTGCTGGGGTGCCAGCAGAGCTGATCCACGCTGTCCCCGTGGCCCCGGTAGTTGTTCTCCTTCACCTGGAGGGAGAGGGCAGACGATGTGAGGATGTGCCCAGCTTTGCTCCCACTCCTGCCCCACATCCCAGCACGCTGCATCCCCGCTAGGACACATCAGGAGCCGCGCCCGGGGCTCCGCCGCTACCCCAGCTACATCCCACCCACGGCCGGCCCGGACAGAGCATCCCCGCCAGGCACCAGCTCAATTCCCGGCCTCCGCTGTCCTTGGCGATGCTCGTGTCCCGGTGCACACCGAGTACCCACCCCTCCCGCCACCGACACCGCCACACACTCCCAGTTACGGACATCAGCCCAAGCACCCGCACTCGGTATGCCCAGGGGCTCCCGGTACCGATCCGCACCACCCCCGCCCGCCCGATGCCGGGGGATCTGGGATCTCACCAGCCGGTCCTTCTCGAGCAGGAAGACGCTGGCGGTCTTGTCGAAGGAACCGGAGGCGAGGCGGCGGCCGCAGCAGCTCCAGGCCACCGAGTGCACCTTGGCGCCGTGCGCCGGGAACTCGCGGCTCCGCGTGTTGGCGCGGAACAGCTCCTGCATGGCCTGCACGTAGGGCGACACCGCCATGGCGGGGCCGCCGCCACCGGCACCGCCACCCCCACGCGCGCCCCGCCCCGGCACCGCGCCTGACGCCACTTCCGCCGGCGTTCCGCGCCCGGCGTGGCGCCACCGGCGGAGCGGAGCCTCCGCCCGCCGCCGAGATGGACGACAGCGTGGTCCTCCTCAGCGATTCGGACTCGGAGGGCGCCCGCTCGCCGCCGCCCCAGCCCAGCCGCTCCCGTGACTCGCTGCCCGCCCCCGCTGTGAGTCCGTGGCTCCCTCCGGGCGCGGCGCCGCTTCCCCACACAAGATGGCGGCGCTGCCATGGCGGGCGGAGCTGAGAGCCTCGCTGGGACGAGCAGCCTCGGGGACAGTGCGGGGGGTGGCGAGCGTTCTCCGGTCCCGTTCCGACCCAGCCGGGCTCAGGTCCCCGCGGGCACCTCCCTTGACAAGCGTGCGCCCGGAGGGATGCCAGCCTCCCTGGCCGTGTACCCTTAGAAAGAGCCCGGTGCCTGCCATAGAGTGTCGCGGTGCCCTCGCTGCACCCCGAGAAGGGGCCGGCGCTGCAGGGCTCGGCCCCCGGCGGGGTCGGGCCGCGGGATACGGTGGAGCGGGTGCCGCTCCTCTCCCCCATGCCGTTCCTCTGCGCTGTCCCGTTCTGCCGGCGGGTGCGGGGCCGGTGAGGCGAGGCCGTGCGGCGGCGGTTCCGGCACGAGGCCCAGGCCTGGACCGGGGAACTGTCGGTCCCCGGCTCTGCAACCGCTGTCCCGGGTCCTGAGGCGCTTGGAGCCCCGCACCTCCAGCCCTCCGCAGCTCCTCTTGCGTGCCAGAGCCCGCTGGGCTTTGCCACCTCCTTGGAGAAGGCAGCAGGTCTGAATCAGCGGTGGAAGTGGATTTAAATTACCTGCTGAACGTGCTTCCTGCTTTAGGGCCTGAGGGGGATTTTTTTTCCCCAAGAGCAAACAGGCTCTTACCCCTCCTGGGCACACCAAAAGCTTGGGAAGTGCAGTGTCTGGCCTTCGGCCTTCCCCTGCCTGCTCCTGCTGCCCCTCGGGCCCTGCATTGCCCAGCAAGGCCGGGGTGGGAGTCCCCAAAGTCTCAGGGCCGCGCATCTCTCATTGATGCCACAGATCAAAAGGCAGCTTTGTTTCCTGCCACTCCTGTCCTCCAGAGTGGGTGATGTGCCACAGAAGTGGTGCCAGGGTTTGGATCCTGTTCTGTTCCTGTCAGTGCCTGGGTACAGGAGAGCTCCCTGTTACAGGACAGCTTCTGTTTACTCTCCCTGGACATGCCAGCAGGACTGACATTGCCCTGTCATGGGAGGGAGCTGAGCAGGCAGCCAGGTCTGCTTGGGACTAAGGCACAAGGACATGAGCCCTCAGGGGAGTGGGGAAGAGCCTGGGTTGGGCTCAGGCTCAGCTGTGCTGCCAGGGGAGGTTGATCCTCAAGCTCAGGGCCATGGGACCCCTTGCATAGGCAGAAGGGTCTTTGCCCCTATTTTTCTAGGCTGCTGCCCTTTTCCCTCTTGGACTGGGGCTACAGGGCCACCATAGCAGAGGCTCCTGGCAGGACAGGACATTGACACTGCTGCTCTGTCCCCACAGGAGATCATTGACCTGACCTGTGAGGATGCAAACACAGACCCAACACCGTCGAGCAGCCTCCCCATCATCGACCTGACTGAGGACATGTGCAGCCTTCTCCACTCTACCCTTGGTGCTACCCAGAACCCCAGAAACACTGCCTCAGCAGTACACACGTCCCATCCCCAACTCTGCCCCACTGCAGAAGAAATGCAGGCAGTAGCAGAGCCAAGCCCTGCACCAGCATCACACAGCACTCCTGTGAAGCTCAGTTCCACCACGGTCACAGCAGAAACCATGGAGAACTGCAGCTGCCTTTCTCCTGTCTCTAGCCACAGCTGGAGCTCAGAGCAGTACTCTGGCACTTCTGCCTTTAACAGCGACTTGGACTCGCAGTCAGACTCAGACTCAGACTGCTTGTCCCCATCTCCCCCCAGCCTGGACAGCAACAGCAGCAGGAGAGCTGATGGCCCAGAGGAAGATCCTCCCCAGCCCTGCCAGGAAAGGAACTTCCCCCCAAGGCTGAGCCCTGCCCCAACCATTCCTATAACACCAGGAAAGGCCCAAAGGTCTTTGCCAGAATCAAGTGACTTCCCACCACATCAACCAATCCAGCAAGCCACACTGGCCAGGACTGACACTGACAGCAAGGCCTGTCTAGAAAAACTGCACAATTTCAGCAGGAATGGAATCCAGCACCTCTTCCTCCAAGATATAGTACCCAACAGGGAAACACAGCAGGTAAACAGGGCTTGGAGCAGCCCCTTTGGTAGAGGATGGAGCAAGGGCAGCCCCTGCTCCCTTTGTCCTTTCCCAGGCAGTCAGGGGCTCTGGTTATTGCAGTTCCCTTCACAGAGGGCCCCACATTACAGCTTTCGCCCATTGTCTTGTCTTGTACACAGCAGAAACGTGGGCTCATCCCCAGTGGGAAGCTGAGCATGGTGCACACCACTATGGAGGAGAACAGCCTGGAGGGCACCTTGTATTTCCTGAACGAGTTTGTCTCCTGCCAGCACTATCCCTCCAAAGAAATCATCTGCCACCTGATCAAACAGATGCTGTTGGACACCCACGAAGAGGAGACCTTGAGTGACATCTACACACTGCTGATGAAGATCCAAATGTATGTGTTCCCCTTGTCCCAGGGCCCTGGGGCTGGCTAGGGGTCTGCCCAGCATAAGAGTTATTCTCTGTGGTGCTCACCATAAACAGGGAGTGATTTCCTCTATAACCCAGGATAATCCTCCTGCCAACACACACACACTCCGGGCTCTCTGAGGGTGGGTCAGGGACAACTTGTGACACAAGGGAGCCCTTGGGGACAGAAGAGTGTGCCTTGCCCTGAAGCACAGGTCTCATTCTTCACTGCTGTGACATGACAGAAGTACCTTCCCTGCGCTGCAGCAGTGGCTAGAGCAGCTCCCTCAGTTCCCTTCAGGCTTCCCAGAGAGAGGTATGACATTTTATGAGGCCACAGACCTAGGAGTCCTGGGTGTCTCCATGGAGTATAGACCCTGTCAGATGCTTCAAAAAATGCATGTGTTATGGGGAAGGGAAGGGGTGAGGGCAAAGATGAAGAGGTAGGGAAGGGACCTGAGTGAGTGGGGCTGGGAGTGGCTAGGGAAGGGCTAAGGGGCTCCAAGCAAATGGTCAGGCTGTTCAGCACAAATGGACATGGCTGTCCTTGCAGGCTCCATCCAGCCAACATCACCACGGTGGGATGGGACTGGACACTGCTGAGATTCATCATGGACAACCAGGTACTTGCCATTGTGTGTCACTTGGGGCAGGGATCATCCAGCACACACTGCCTGAGGGTGAGCATTGCCTAAGTGCTTCCTGTGGCTGTGCTCTGCTGCAGAGCTGGCCAGTCCAACAGCAAGTGCCAGCTGAGAATCCCACACTTATCCACAGTGCTCCCTTAACCTCTGCACAGTTTTAGGCAGGTTGTCCCACTGAAGAAGGCACAGCAACAGATAAGCCCTCTCTGGGTCACAGCACTAAGTGCAATGCCCCTCAGGGTCTTGCCTGAGCCAGGCAGCTCCTCCCACAAATACTCCTCAGTATGTACATCAGTCCACGCCCAAGACAGCCAGCTTTCCTGGTGTTCCTAAGCCTGTGGCCCCACCAGACTCACATGCTCTCCATCTACCCCCAGGAGAAGCCCCCTGGCCAGCTCCTCTTCCTGCAGTATGTGGTACAGACCCTGGAGGATGACTTCCAGCACAATCTGAAGTCACACCAGCTGCAGAAGTCAATTGCCAAGAAAGTGCTTTCATGTGACTTGTGCTTCGCCAATGTCAAGTAAGGGACACATCCTCTTCATTCCCTAACCAGAAGCTGAGAGGCAGGGGCTCAGGTAACACTTGTCAAGACTCCAGTCAGACTTTCAGACTTTCCAAGAAGCAGACTTGGGAGGCAAAGGGCCAACTATAGGGGCTAGGAAAAGATTTACAAAAACAAACCACCAGAGATGATGCAAAGCCTTTCCAATCACAGCAGAATGGACTTTACCCAGGGATGAGGTCAGATTTGCATTGCTCAGGATAGGACTGAGAGGGAGGCAGTCCTGTAGGCAAGTGTACAAATCAAGAGAGTTCCTCTGTTGAGCTGCTTAACAGAGCTACTGCCTTAACCTGTCCAAGTGGGTGGAATGTACTCTCCATTCTCAGGGCCTTTCCTCAAACTCTGTATCTAAAGGTCAGAACACAGCAAAACAAGGCACATACCCAATAAAATTCTTGTTTCTGTCCCAGGGAAGTGGTCAAATGGTTGGTGGCAGCAGTTACTGGAGTCGGGTTCTCCCAGCCCTGGGAGCAACTGCAAGAAGCCAGGGCTGAACACAGCTCAACTTCACCAAGGCTGGCCAGCACTCAGACAGCTCAGGCTCAGACAGCTTTCTTTGCCCAAAAGTAAGCTCCAGAATTCTGAACTCCCTGCTGGCATTATCATGGACCCAAGTCAGGTAGAAGCCAGAGTCTCTCTCTTGCTGTCAGTTCAGGGAAGCCAGGCTGTACCTGTGACCAGCTTTGTTGGCTCTTCTTCGGGTTAAAGACTTGATGAGCAAAAGACTCTCACTGGGTAAGAAACTGGCTCAGTGTCATCCTCTTGCATGCAGTGTAAGGCTGGAGCTTGCCCACAGCTCAGGCAGCCCCATGCTGCTCCAACACTCAGGAGAGCCACTAAGACCTCTTGAGAGTCAATCTGGAGATGAGCTTGGCTTGCAAAAGCATCAGATTCAGAAGCCACCATGAGATACCAAACCTGGCCCACTGCATTCCCATTCCCCTCACTGCGCGAGGCTGAAGTAGGGCCATCCCCAAGGCTTTGCTTGGCAAGCTGAGGGGCAGAGTCTCCCTGTGCTGACTGTCCCTCTCACCCAGGGCCATGCTCCTGCTACAGAGGATGTTGTCCTTGGCAGTGGAAGTGGACAGATCTCCCACCTGCAGCTCCCGTAAAATCGCAGACGACATATTCCCATTCATACTGAATATCCCCCTGAGGAGCCAAAGGTGAGAAAAGTGTGTACAAGGCAGCATTTGCCTGTGTGAACAATGGTCTTATTCCCAATTTACATCCAAGTCTGGATGCAAAAGGTTCTACAGGGTATAGAAATACAGACCAGCCAGCAAGAGCATGGCTGTGTCTCCCATGGAGATACATCACCAGTGGAGCAGGTGTTGTGTTGCTGAGAACAGTCAATTCTCTCGCTTGTTAAAGCTGTAACAGCACAGCCAAGCACTGGCAGACATCACTGATTCTCATGGGCAACCAGGTAGTCAAAAGCATGATGCAGTTCCTACAGCTTTGCCTTGATATCCTTTGTTTGCTTCTTTAAGAAATGCAAATCTGAAGCCAAAGCACAAGGGCATGACTGGCCCTGGTGTAAGCAAGAGACCACTAGGCCCTCACTAGTGTTTCAAACCCACATTTCAATGCCCAGCAAGCAGCCCTTCACACCCTTTCAGCAGAAGTCTATGCACACACCAGGTATAAACAAGCCAAACTGACTCTAACCAAGCTGTCACTTTGCCCAGGACCGATAAAGATCCATTTACCCCTGACCTATCCCCCTTGCTTGGCTGGGCTCCCTGCAAGTCAGCAGGATTGAGCCATTGCCACACAGGCTGCTGGGCAGCAGCTCAGTTTGCTTTAGAGACTGTACTCACTTCCAGCTGCTCTAGGTCACACCTGAGGACAAAAACACGGCCATGGCCAAGCTGCATAACAAAGGTCTCTTGCCACATCTGGTGGTTGTCCTTCCATGGCATGGCTGGGTAGGCCCTGCAGTCACCCCACATCTGCACTAGGTCAGCAGCACAGCAGGAACATGCTGGAACAGTTGTCTCTCATCAGGCTGTGCTGTCTCAACCAAAGTAAATTCCTTCTGTGTTCCAGGGAAGCTTTATTAAACACCATGGAGAGCCAGCTCCTGCGCTGCAGGCTGCTAGAGCTGTTATTCCAGCATAGTTGTGATGTGCCCACAACCTCGTCCATGTCTCTGGACAAGATCCTGTATTTCCTGAGCCACTCCTCTGTGCTGCCACAATTCCAGGTACCCAGCCCAATCTCTCCTTTGACTTGTTTTCCTTGAGAAAACTTCTAACAACCAAATGCTGTCTCCTGCCCTAGGATGAAACAGCAACATGGCAAAGATGGGACGAGATGCTGCAGTACTTGAGTTTGCTGCTGCTCAGTTACCAAAGCGTAAAACTGGGTAAGTAGTACTTGTTCTGGCCCTAACAGTCTCATCAAGAGGCTGCAGTAGAACAGCCAAATTCCTCTTCCTCCTCTCATCACTCTTGGACTCCTTAGAAAGACAGTATGCCTCCATCCATGATAGTAACTATTCCCAGCAATCAAAGAAGTGATGTTGCATCAGTCAGAGCACCCACCTTGCTTTGCCAAGTTTAAGCCCTGCAAAATAGCCTTCTTCCTAAAGGAAGGAAGCACTTCCCAGCACTGGAAAGTACACAAGAAGGTGCTTTGTACTCACTGTTGTCCAAGTTGCTAAATGGGTGGAAGAATAGGGTGGTTTAGGAAGAAAAGTAGAAGGCAAAGGGATCGTAGGATATCCCAAGTTGGAATAGAGATACAAGAAACATGGAGTTCCACTCCTGGCCCTGCACAGACATCCCATAATTCCACCCTGTGCCTGAGAGAGTTGTCCAAACACTCCTGGAGCTCTGGCAGTCTTGGAGCCATGACCATTCCCTGGGGAGCCTATTCAGTGCCCAACCATCTTGTGGGGGAAGAACCTTTTTCCTAATAGCCAACCTAAATCTCCCTTGGCACATCTCCAGTCATTCCCTCGGGTCCTATAACTGTCCTACAGAGCAGAGATAGGAGCTGCCCCTCCTGAGGAAGCTGTAAATCCCAGTGAGGTCTGATCTGCCTCCTCAAGGCTGAACACCAAGTGACCTAAGCCACTCCTCATGTGGCATCCCCTCTTGACCCCTCACCATCTCTGAAGCCCTCCTTTGGGCAGGCCAGGACACTTTCAGCACTTAGTAAATTGTGCAGAGAGCACACCCACAGCAGCCATGGAAGGAGTAGCAATTCTGACCCCAGGAGAGTGGCACAGTCACAAAACACTCAGTAAAACTCTGTATTTTGCCAGAAATCTCTTCCAACTTCAGGTGCTTTAGCCCAAGTTTAACGCTGTCATGAATGAATGCAGAGGAATCCACCATCATATATGCAAAGTCTCACTCTCCCTGAAGCCCTAGACGGTCACTGCTGTACTGTTGTTGGGCTCTTTGGAGACTCCTTTGCAGCTCCCATTTTGCCATTCATACACAAGACAAGGATTATACCAGTCTTGCCCCTTCCCCATTCCCTGAGCACTCTCCACATGCAGAATGAACTCCAGGAGAGGCCAGTTCCTTCTTCCCAAAGTCTTGTGCAGAACCATTGAGGATAACGAGAGGATCAGCCCCATTTCCAGCACTGCCTGTGGCACACTGGGATCCATCCCAGCAGCTCAGGCAGTGCTTTGGGTGTTGCCTCCCCCCACCAGCATTTCCTCTTGCAGAGCACCTGCGGACCTCTGTCAGTGACAGGATGGATTTGATCGCTCAGAAAGCCAAGCCCAGGCTCCAAGACAGTGATGACATCAGCCAGCTGGATATTCAGCTGAAGATGAACGACTTCATCAGCAGAATGCAGGAGACCCTGGAGCAGCCTTTTCCCGCACAAATCCAGGAGAAATTGTTCATGCTGCAAGAGTTGTTCTACATTGTCACTGCTGCCTGATGGAGACAACCACTGCAGCAAGGGGGACAAAACTTCATGTTCTCAACAGAGAATGCCCCCATCTCATGCTGCAATCTCAGCATCATGGGGGTTGCTTTATACACTTCTTTTGAAAGGTATTTGGTTTACATTGTCTCAGAATTTCCGTTCAAGTTTGCCTCCTTGTGCGGTTTTACAAAGCACTTTGTACACTTTAAAAAAATTAATTCATGTTTGCTAAGACTCTTTCATCGTGGTTCTAGCACTGCCCAAAGGAAGTCCAGAGCTCTGTCAGATCACACCACAAGGCCATGCTTTAACCCCAGCCTTCCCAATCTGTGAGATTCCCCTGTGTAATCAGGACCACAGCAAGAGCCTGTACCTCAGTACCTGAATCTGTTCCATGACTTTGAGCTCAGCTTCCACTCCACACGAGCACAGGAAACACCAGCATTCAGAGCTCAGACTTCCCCAGCCCAGATGAATCATGTGCTCCATCAGCAGTACTTTAAAGGGCAGCTAAAAGCACTACTACAGCAGCAAGCCTTGCCTACCACAACTTCTCAGAGGGGAACTCTAGGGAAACACCAGCCTAGTTCCCACACCTGTGCCCACCTCCATAGTACAGGTGGAAACACAGATTGCAAGCAACAAGAGACAAAATCTCAAACATTCATTTGGATTGCTCAAGAAAACACAAAGACTTAATGTTTAGTTTCATCTGCACATGCCCTAAAGTCAGAACTGAGCATGGCTGTGAACCCAGTCTCCCTGTGAAAGGGGAGTTTGTGGGCAAATATTTCACTTTACTGAGGTGCTGCCAGAGCCTTATCCACCAGAATCTTGACCCCACACTCACTGGACAGCCCCAAATGTCCCCCACAAGGCCTCTGCCAGCACCAACACACACTGTGGACCTCAATTCCACAAGGATTTTATTGTCCTGTAACAAACAAAACAAAAACATACACATAAGATGTGAATACAGTCAACAAATAAATTAATGTCAAATGAGAGCCTGATTGCCAAGGTGCAAACAAGTGGTGACAGAACTGCTGGTTTGGTTGGGGGACTTTCACACAACACATCAATGGCAGTGCTGCTGAAGCTTGAGAGAAAGCAGTGCTACAAAATGTGCTGCTCCAGAGGGGCCAGCAGCCAGCCAAGGTAGCCAACCCTGTCTCACCCTCCAGGGAGAGTGTTTGGTTTTAGAAGGCAGAAACCCTGGAACTCAACGGTTACCAGCTGTTAAGTAACTTCTATATAATGTCCTAGCAACAGAGAAGGTTCCACTTCCAGATGCAAGGCTGGTGCTGGCTGAAAGACTGCACCACAGTCGTAAGATCAAGAGCAGACCTGAGGAGACCCATCTGCCACAGCACAAGTGAGGATTACAGAGCAATGCTGCCTATCACACTTAAGGGATTAGATGGTAGCCAAGGGTTCCTTCCACTTTTCCTGAAAGCCAGTGTTAGTTGTTCCCAGGAACTGGTTCAGATTAGGTCAAGGATCACATCCAGCTGTACCTTAGCAGGGAGGAGCATTCAGCCTTGGTCTGTCCTCAGTCCTCCCCCAGCCCTGTAGAACACACTTAATGCTGACAAAACAAAATACCCTGTCTGAGAAGTATTTCCGGTGTCTAATACATTCTACACAATTATAGGGAAAAAAACCCCCAAAAAACCAGCAAAAACAAATCAAGCAGCATCCAGTGTGCCAGAACACCTGCAAATGCAGAGTTGGAAGAAAAGGAATTCTTCCTCCTGACTTCCAAACTCCCATTAGATTCTGCTCCCTGCCTTTCCAATGGGAACATCTTAGAATGGTCACTAGTCCCTTTTCCCTTTAAAAAACATTCCAAGAACAAAAAACATGGTCACACTGGATAGCGAGGGACTGCCATATTTATACTGACCCACCATATACCCCATCTTCCTTCTGGCAGTTATTGGTCCAGTTTTCAGTCCTTGCTTCTTCACATCATTTTCTGCTTGATCTCTTGACAGAACCAGTCCTCCTGTGGGTCCTTCAGCACTGAGCAGGACAAGACAATCAGATTCCAGGCATACAATCCAGGTGCTCACACACCACATGGAATCCTGTCCAAAAAAAACATGGCTCAGGGTTTCACTGTGGTGTGATGTACTGGGAAGCACATCCAGAGCAGTCTGGCAGCCCAAACCAGTGCAGTGCAGCAGACAGCATGGTTGACATGGGTTTAGGACTGGTGGAGGAGTTTTTCCAAGACTGGCTTTAGCAGGACAATAAAACAATTGTTTCTTCTGAGATGAAGAGCTAGAAAAGGAGACTTTCCTACTTTACTTCAGCACATGGGACAGGGAAGCAGAGCTTAAGACACCCTGTAGCCTGCTAAAGACACTGGAAGCTTTCCTCTAGAACCCAGTGGGAGTGAGCACGTTCAGATCCCGAGGTTTGATATTGTGGGAACGTGGAGATTGTTTCCTCCCATCTGTGCCTGGAATGTCCATTTTGGGTGGCTTGAAGGTGACTTGATCCTCTGTCATCCTTGTAGCCTGAGCACGCATCAGCTCCATTGGGGATGGCTTCTGGGCACCCTTATAGGACTGAATGGTAAATCCTCCTGATTAAAAAAAAAAAAAATCACAGTAAAAACTAGGAAAACCAGTCAAATCCTTTTCCTATTGCTGCCAGGAGTGAGCAGTGTTACTGACACTCAGCACCACAGACAGCCTATGCAAATTCCAGCAGCTTCATATCATCTGAAGCCTATTCCACATCTGGGGTTGGCACTTGCAGTCCTGGTTGCATCACACATCAGAGAAAGAGTAAAAAGCTGTCACCTTCACACCCTGCCCCTCCCCCTGCAACTCACTGCAAGTTATTTCTGCTTCCAGATCCCTGGCACAGGTTTTACCTAACTGCTGTATATTTAGGCACAGGAATTATATGACTAACACACGTTCCCAAGGTGGTCCTGGAGAGTAACAAGGCAAGCAGGGTAAGACTCCAGAAAGAGCCAGCAAGTCTGCTGTGTGACAGTTCCCCCCCTTGCTCTTGGCCAGGTAGATTTTTCAAGGACATACCTGCATCACTGGCCGACTTCTGGAGAGCTCTGGGTCCAAAAAAGCTCCATCTTTCAGATGGCAATCTGTCTCCACCACTTTCCATAGCAAAGTCTGAGCCAGCGATAGAAGTAGAGGATCCCTGACTAAACCAACCCCTAAGGAAAAAAAGTAATTGAGATGTTTAAAACATGAGAACAAATACTTCAAGTGACCCCACTATGGCAGGAACTTTTCATGTAGTTAAAAGTGGCCATTTAAGAAATCTTAATAGGTTTGTTACCACCCAGGGTAAGATATGCATGCTCAAGTTCCACAGGCTTCCAATATTTGGATCTATCCAACACTAATCTTCATCAGGCTCTAAATTCCACCCTGTACAGTCCCTCCTGGGAATAAGAAGGCTATTTGTAGCAGCTCCCACCTCAGCAGCCTGTAGGAAACCAAAAGAGGTAGAGTACCTGTTTTTATGCTTGGGGGAAGAATGGGGGGTACTGCTTGGAGTGGACTGAGCAGAAGAATTCTGTTTGTCATCTTTTGTTGTCTCTCCATTCTGCATTTTTAGGTTCTGTCAGAAGAGGCAAGAGAAACAGAAGCAACACAGCTTAAATGCTGGACATAAGGAACAACACCCAGTTTTACTGTCAAAACCAGACAACTATTTCTATCACAGGTGATGAAGAAAAAGTGTCACCACACCTAAAGTTGTATCTAGTATTACAGTACCTGCATACTCCTCCTTAAGTTTCTCTCCGCATCAAACAGAAGCATTTTGAAAGTTCACTTCAGGCTACAGGAAGGAATACCAGCACTCCTAGGGTGGCTCTGGAGGCAGCAGAGCTCACTTCAGCTACCTGGTAACTGGTCTAAATCCCACAGCACCCATTTGTCTCTCCAGCACTTCTCAGAGCAACAAAGCTTTCAGTCCCATCAGTTCTCTTACGAGGGTGAGACCAGTTCTCACAGAAGGTACAAGGTCAGGAATACCAGACCCTGTGAAGCAATTAGTGTACATCAGGATGAAAACACTGCCCTGGAACAGAGATGAACCTGGGCACAAAATAAACAGGAACTGGGTGTATGCAAAGCATGTTATTACAAGCTGGACTGTACAAACTGAACTTTGAAGAAGTCATTTGAAGGGCAGTTACAGTTCAAACACAAAATACACAGGGTACCTTGTAATGTTTCCTGTGGCCATTCAAGCCACACTAATGGTATTCACCAACGCAGTTATTGAAACTTTGGCCTCATGGGAGGACACTGGGAGAGTTGACTATTAAACTCCAACTGAAGAGTTTTTTTAAAAGCTCAGTAGCCCACAGTAACATGTTCATTCAAGACTCTGGTTTTCAGTAAGATGCATCTGGTAACTTCCACAATGGAAATGCACAGTTTACAAGTTCTCTTTGGACACACAGTTGCAGAAATCAACTGCAGGGCACCATTCAAAAGTACAGCAAGAAATCAGATTGTGTAAGGCTGTCCCCATCTGGAAAAACAACTGTCATAGTTTGATGTGACAGTGAAATGTGACAGATTTCAGAAAAAAAAAAAAAAAAAGCTGTTTCAAAACTACAAAGGCTAATATTAACTTAAAAATAAAAGTGGGTAAACTTTCCCACACAATAAGCTAAAAGGCTTCAGGGGAAGCAGATTAAGGTAAGTCTTTGCATCATACTCCAAAAGTTTTGTAACCAAGTAAATATTAAACTAGACGCATTCTACATAGAGAAATCCAATAGAAAACAAGCCTTACGTGGACTGCCTCAGCCACTCGGTGGTACTTGGTCTCCTCAGTGGTGAGGCCTTTGTGGGGTGTGTAGCCAGCTTCCCTCAGCCCTGCCTGCTGCTCAAAGCGCTGGATGCTCTCCTGAGTCTGCTCTGGAACACACAAGAACACAAATTCACACAGAAATGCCACCACAAGCGGTTCTAGCAAAGGCAGCTCCAGCAGCTGAACATAAACTCTTTTTTCATCATTCACACATTGTAACAAGCTGAGAAAGATGAACCCGGTGAGATATTCTGACTTGACAACTACCCTGAGACACAGGGCTGTCAGATGAGCAGTGATTTTTCCCCAATCACCAGATATATCACAAATGCAACACCTGTAATTAATCCTATCTCACCCCAGATACTGCATCACTCCTCACAACTTCATAAATCTAGCAGAACCCAGTAAGTTGGACACTTTAAGTGGCCCATTGCATTCAAGGGAGCCTCACAGATCATGTTTTAAAGACTCACAGTGATTTTAGATCAGGTAAAATAAACTACTTCAGCCAGATACAGAGCCAGCATCTCATACACTGATATCAACTTCAGTTTTGAAAAATATAAGCAGTTTCTCCAAACCCCAGGATAAGAGGTTCACTCCCTAGTGGAACGAGGGAAAAAGTCAAAAGGAATCAGAGCACAAGAAGGTTAGTAGAAAAGCCCGCTGTCTTTTTTAAAATAGATAACACTTCCCATCTAAAAGTTATTTTGAGATCCTCGTTATTTGTAGCTGCTGAAAGAAGAGGCAGCACTGTGGACAGAGGACAGATTAACACAGAAATAATTCCTCTTATTGCAAAAGGGCACATCTCTGCAAACATAACTGACCCAATTTTATTTTAAAGCATTTTGATTTATGTTTTGAAGTGCTGCAGTTAGCAAGGCAGCTGCTGCTATTAACAACAAAATTGCCAGCAAGTGCTCCATTAGCACAGTGTGTCAGCTCTCCTCACTAGTTGGGTTAATGGTAGAGCTCTGCCTGTCATTCAGAAATAGCAGGTTAATAAGCAAACAGAGCAGCAGCAGCCTCTGCACTCCAGCAGCATGGACTGCAGTGTCCTGCCAGCAAACAACAAACTCTACACTCCTCCCCCCGCCCCTGGAAACACAGAAGCACCACATGTGATCTATTCCCCAGTTCCTTGCTTCCTTCTAGAAACATCTCCTGAAAAAAACAAACTCACACAGCACCAGAGCAGAGCCAGCCTGAACCCAAGAGTTCCCCAGAAATTACCCTGAGGCATCCACCAAGCTGGAGCATTCTCAGTGCCCAACCCACACATGAGAGTATGAGAAGTGAGTCCTTACTTGTGATGAGGGAGTTCATGATGATGTGAGTGGCCTTGGCCTTCACCACAGGCACCTTGTTCACACTTTCTGTGGACGATGAAGGAGTTATGACAGGTTTCATGTTGGTATCCCCATCCTCATCCTGTGGAGAAGCAGCACGGGACAGTTTAGATAGGAAAGAATCTCAGCACCTGGCCGGGACACATCTCTAATTACACAAGTGAGACAAGGCCATGCTGCTCTAGCAGCCAGTCTTCATCCCATGGGAGAAATCCCTACACTGTGCTCACTGCAGCCCAGTTACGTTCAGAACCTTAGAATTCATAGCACTGAACAAGCGATGTGCAGCCAGCATTTGAAAACCGACCAGGCTCAGAGTAAACAAGCTGTTAGTCCAAGTACAAAAAGGTCAACAGGAAAGAAACCAGAACATCTGTTCTTCTCCTAAATGCAAACTGGACTTCAAGGTCATCTGGGCAAAAAGTACCAAGAGCACCTTCCACAGGCAGCTCAAGCACCAGCTGTTCACAGAATGGCAGTCACAGAGTAGAGCCTGGAGTAAACAATTTGTTTTCCCACCTCATTCCTTGTGTGTTTCTTGCTCAGTGTGTCCGGTGGTCACAGTTCTACCACTGATCACCCAGCAAAGAAACAGAAAATGAATGCTAGAAAACAAAATATCCTGTGAAACACTGACTTCCTTCTCACAAAACAGGAGTTCCTTGACTGGAGAGTTTACTTTTTGTACCAAACCACAGCTTTCGGTTGTCTCCCACAAGAGATTTAAAAACCAAGGAAGTATAAAATAGAGGTTAAGCTCAAAGGGATGCAGAGTTACATACTTCCATCCAACAACATTTAGCTTAATTTCAAACTTAGGAAAAAACCCTCTAAATTTAAAAGGGCTGGTCTTGCACTCAAAGCATAGAATTCCAGAACAGTATGGGTTGGAAGGGATCTTAAAGATCATACAGTTCCAACGCCCTGCTATGGTAGGTGGACAGTTTCCAGTAGAGCATCTTGTTCAGAACTCCGGCCAGCCTGGCCTTGAACACTTCTAGGGACGGGGCAGCCACAGTTTCTCAGAGCACACTGAGCCAGTGCCTCACCACCCTTATTATAAAGGACTTACATCCAATATAAACCACCCTTATGCTCTAGTTTAATTACATCTGGTTGCTGGGGGTTTTTTAACCACAAACACGGAGGAGACGCTCAGCACACGCTTGTCCCACCCACACCTGCATGTGCTCAGAGCAAGGCCAAGCAGCAGTGCCGGGCTGTGTCCCCTGCCCCTCCCGAGAGTCCTGCTGCGAGGGCACGGGACAGGGCCAGCCAGGCAAGGAGAGGTACAAGGACGGGGGGATGCTCAGGAGAAGGGGGTTGCCAGGACAGGGGCACCAGAGCCGCAGGGTACCCAAGGACATGCGGGGGCCAGCGGGGCCGGTACCTTCGAGAGCTCCTGGTACTTGCGCTCGGGGATGACCGGCTGCTTCCAGAGCACGCTGGCACACAGATCGGCGGGCGGCGGCGTCATGGGCGCCGTGTCCTCCAGGGCATCATCGTAGCTGAAGGCGCGGCGTGGAACGCCGAGGGGCAGCGACATCCTGCCCGAGCGGGCCCCGCCGCCCGGCTCCAGCGCTGCGGAGAGAGCGCAGCACTCAGCCCCGCCGCCGCGCCCGACCAAGCCCGGCGGGGAGCGCGTGGGGAACCTTACCGGGAGCGTCGGGCTGCCCAGAGCTCATGGCGGAGGCTCAGCGGGGTTCAGCGAGGGGCAGGAGGGGCAGCAGGGCCAGCGCCAGGCCCAGAGCGGCCATAGCGGAACCACCCGGAGCCGCCACAGCCGGGAGTTATTTATGCCTGCGGGAGGCGCTCTTATAGGGGCGCGGTCTCGCGAGATGTGATAGCTTCGCGCGGGGCACGCTGGGAGGTGTAGTTCGGGCGGAGAAGGCGGGGATTACCGGAGACGCAGGGCCGGGGCGGGTCCCCAGCGCACCCACGGCCCGGGTGGCGGGGCTGCGGTCGTCTCCTGCCCACGTGTCCTGTCCTCCTACAGACAAGAGGTTGCTGGGTGAACCCACAGGGCGCTAGGTCCTGGAAAACCAATCCTGGAAGCTGGCAAGCCCATCAGGAACAGAAGTACGTGGCAGGCATTCTCATTGTGACACCTTTTCTACAGCTGCTCCTTCCTTTTGTCAATGGAAGGGTGACCTCTCTGCTACCCTCCAGTTCCTCGGCAGGAAAGGGACCTCAGCCTACTCTCCCAAGCTGCAGGCACAGGGGAAGGAAGCAGCACATGGCTCTGCTCCAACTTACGCTGCCTACAGGACAATCAGCAAAAGTCTGAGTGCTGCCCACACCCAGCCCTGTCACCACAGGGGGTGACACGTGTTCAATGCCAACATCACCACCAGGAGCTCTCCAAAGCAGGCCTGCACCAAGCACACAAAAAAGACATTCACAAAGCAGCTAGAAAGAGTATTTTATTTTAGCAAAGCTAAAGAAATGGTGGCTGCCACACAGAAAGTGAGCAGAACGGCACAGTCAGTGCTAGTGCCAAGAGTCTTTCATGGATAGTTATAACCATCTCCGCCTAGTGAGGGTCTTTCCTCCATCACCAGAGGCTTTTTCAGTTTGGAAAATATTCATGTCAAGCCTGCACTTGCAGGTAAACCTGAGGAAAAAGAGCAGTCACTGCACTTCCATTTTTTCTGGCTTGAGTGATGCAATGAAATTCTTGTACTCCTCGGGATAGAAATTCTTGTACACATTGATCTTTCTCTTAATCTGTTTGGGAGTATCCTGGTAGTAGTTCTTCTCATCTCGAGCCATTTCCTGCGACAAAGGAGAGGTAAGTCAGAGGAGCAGCCCCAAGAGCAAACACCAAACCAGCCTAACCACACCAGTGTGATCACTGCCTGACTCAGACAGGGAGCTGGCCACAGTTCAAACTGTTTTTTCCCTTAAGAACCAGCTGACTGCAAAACAGGATCCAGGACAGAGAGGATTAGCAGTTCTCCTCCTGCTGATGGGAAGATCCAGGAGTGAATCACTCCAGGTGCTCTGGAATGTACCTTGTAGTTCTCCCCATGGTTCTGGATCATGTATCGCACATAGTCAATGAGGTCTCGTGAGAGCGTGTTCGACTTCTTCTCAGGGAGGCTGGCCTCCAGTTCCATCTCTAGGCAGAGGGCAGAGGTAGCATGAGGGAGGGGAGGGAAGCAACACCACCTCAGAGGTCCCCAACCTCCCCCCAAGGTTGACTCCAGCCACACAGCTTGGCTGCTGGTGCATGCAGGGACGTTTCCCAGCACATGATGGTGCAGGAAAATGGCCAAGACAACAGCACTCTGCTCAGGCTGCAGGCATCCAGGCCTGCATTGCAGCTCTTCTCCAGCTCACAAACGAGGAGCAGACCGTTTCAGCCCAGGCTGCAGAGTGTGACTGCTCAGAGCTGCCCAGCCCACCACTTAAATACATGAGGTACTGCCTCCACGTCTTCTTTTCACCCTGGAGCCAAGCACCAGCACATTTCGCAGTGACAAGAGCCCTCTTGAGGCCGCAGGGACAAACACTGTAGGAAAGACATGCTCCTCCACAAGGCTGAATAAGAAATAACACCCTTCCCTATCCTTGGCACAGCACAGGATGACAAAATAACCCACAGGGGCTTAGGAGAACTCCCAAATGCAACACTGACCATTCACCACGTACGGCTTCCGCACTAGTTTCTTTCCTGGCTGTTGTCCGTCGCTTTCCACTTCCATCCCCTGAATTATAGCAGAGAAAAGACAAATGAAGAAATGCCCATTTGGAAGAGTGCTGTGTTCCCACACATTGCTCCCAAAACTCCAAACTGCTTCTACATGGTTGCAAGGGGCAGGAAATCCTAGCTGGCTTAAGCAGAGCCTTATTTGTGCCATTAAATTGGCTTGTGGGTGAGGCTGTCAGCTGAGAAACGCTGTATGAATGGAAACAAATGGCAGACAACGTCATTCCTACTTTTTCTTTGAGTTTTTGGGGCCACCTTTCACTTGAAAACGTCGCCCTCTTATGCAGATGGGCCAAGCTGGCACTGTTGTACACAAAGAGCCTTTCTTTGTTATCAGGAGCAACTTGGCTGCAGCGTTCCCTGCCCCACCTGTCTCTGACAAGTCCCAGGAGATGGACTGACGTTTTTTATATTTGTTCTAAAGTCCATTATGTCTCTGGAGAGCTGTAGCTCGTTCCCACGCCAGGATCTTGGCGAGATAAGCGTGTAGATCAATATAAGAAATGTGTCCACCGCCAGAGACTTATCCAGAGCCACCTGCCCCGTGCTGCGAGGGTACCTCCCCCATAAAGGAGCGGTCCCGGCCAAACCCTTCCTTACCAGCAGCTTCTTCGGGATGGGGATAGCCTTGTTGGGATCCTCGGCCAGGCCCATCTCGGCCAGGTTCTGTGCCACCGACTTGTGCGGGTCCCAGGCATGGCGGATGTGCGAGCTGCGCAGGGACAAGGGACATCACGGCTGTGTCCCCCCATCCCACCGCGTCCCCCTCCCCACCCACACGTGCAGCGTCCCGGCCGCCCTGCCCCTTCCCACGTTCGGCCTGTGCCCCCCGTGTCCCCGGCGCTCACCAGGCGATGCGGGGCGCGGCGCGGCGGCGGGCGCTGCGGTAGAGCCGCTTGCGGTTGAGGTTGTACGAGTATTTCTGCCGCCGGCTTTTCCCCTTGGCCTTCGGCATGGCGGACACACGCGCGCTGGCCACGGGGCTGCCACGGGCGCCTCGGGGCACCACGGGAAGTGTAGTTCCGACACAGCAGCGCCGCGCGATAAGTTTGCGCGTCGGACTTCAACCCCCAGCATACACTGCTTCGGAGGCGGTGGCTACGGCAGCCGGAAAGGGCCGTTGTTGTCACCTTGGCCATGGCGGCGGGGCCGCCCCCCCCACTAGAGCCTTGCCCGCTCCCCACGTTCCCTGAGGAGGGATTCACGGAGAAGTTCCTGCGCAAGACCCGCGAGAACCCCCTGGTGCCCCTCGGTGAGAGTGGGGCGGGGGGTGGCGGGACGGAGGCTGAGTGAGGGGCGCGGGCCGGAGCGATGGTCACTGGTGAGGGGCCGTTCCCTCGGCCCCGGGCCGGCTGCCCCCCGGGGAGGCGCGGCTCGGGTTTGGGAGTGCGGTGGAACCGGCCCGCAGCGCTCAGGCCCGGAGGAAGCCGAGCCTCACAAGCCGTGTCCTTCCCCGCAGGCTGCCTGTGCACCGTCAGTGTCCTGGCCTACGGAATAATCTGCTTCAAGAAAGGCAACACTCGCCGCTCGCAGCTGATGATGCGGGCGCGTGTCATAGCCCAGGGCTTCACCTTTGCCGCCCTGCTGGGGGGCATGGCGGCCACGGCTATCAAATCCCGACAGTGACCTCGGACGAGAGCGAAGCTACGGCCACGGGCAAGCGTCTACCAGCTGGCAGAGTGGATCCTGGCTGCAGATGGAGTTTTCTGAGAGACTGTTGTAATGTCTCGGTGAAGCCAATTCTGGAGCACTGGAAGTAGGGTGAATACATTCTGTGATTAACATGTAATTTAGGCTGTGGTATTTTTTTTTGTTTCCCCAAGAGCTCCCCCTCCTGCAGCACTGAGGCTGCATGTCACTAAGCCTCACCACCTCTGTCAGACTTCTTGCTTGATGCTGTCACAGGCTGATAAAATTGTGTCTTCTGGGTCGTGGTCTGAGGTGTGGTCGTAGTCAGGCAGTGACCAGCATTTGAGAAATGAGCTGCCCATGAGGAAGGAACTGCTGCTTATGGCTTGGTCCTGGCAGGACAGAGTCCCTAGGCAGCAGGGGAGGCAGTCTGGGAGGTTGTGTAACCTGTTCAATTGAAACTGGTGAGTAATAAAATTAAGTGCAGCAAGATTCTGACTGATACTGGATTGCAGAGCACTGAGAAGCCAAAGCAGTAAACAGTGCAGGTAGAAAAGGGAGTGGGTATGGCTGTCTTGAAGCTGTGGTGATGCAAAAGAAACAAGACATGAAACTCCCTGTGAAAACAAGCAGGGAACTCGCATTTCTGAAATGGGGTCTGGCCATGTTCTCTGGGACATGCTGCTGCTTCAGCTGTTCTTGCTGGGGAGTCAGCAACACCTTCTTCCCCAAGGGACCTGCACTGCCTGTGTCCTGACAAACATGGTCCCACACTGTTGGATTTTGGATCATACCAGGGTTTGGTGATCCAAGAGACTTCACACTCCCATATACCAGGGCCACAGAGCTAGAAGGACATGGGACCACAGTCTCTGTTCATTGCACTGTGGCTGCAGCAGCTTGTACCTGCAGGGGAAGGGATGCAGACACCTCTGCCTGTGCTGAAACACCTCACCAAGCAGCCTGGGCTCTTTCCAGGTGTTGTTCTGTGAGTTGGTGCCTGTGTCCTGGGTCCTTATAAGGATGGGCTGAAGGGTGAACCCTCTATTTGCAAACAAGCACATGGATTGTCCTGTCCAGGGAATTGTGCTGGTGGGCCTTGGCAAGGAGAGAGGAAAGGCTCTTGCTCACTAGAGCTGACCTCTGAGATGTGAGGGTGGGCAACAAACCATTGCCAGTGCTGAGCAGGGTGAGCTCCACCTCAGCACTGGGGAGCACAGGGCCTGTCTTCCCTCTCCAGCTGCCTGTGCAGGACATCTTTCCCAGAGGAAACTGCTTTTGGCTGCCTCACTGGCACTTCCAGCCCAGCCAGCTTGGGGCAGGGGTGTGAGGAGCAGCAGGTGGGCAGATCCGTGAGCACAATCCCTTGGCAGCTGGAGAACGGTGCAGTGGACAGGGGAGCAGTTCAGCCTGTTTGGACAAGCCAGAGTTTGTAGCTCCTTGGGGACAGAGCCAAGCCCCAGGTCCTGCTGCCACTGCTTTGGCCCTATCCAAGCACAAACCCTCCAGCCTTCCCCTCACTATTTTTTCCTGTAGGATGTTTCTCCTCCAGCCCCGTCCTTTCCACCGGAGGCTTTATAGTGGTGGGTTCTCCTAAATATAGCGTGCATCCCTAACACAGAAAAACAACAGTGCTCTGTAGGGTTGGAGATGTTGGTTTATTGTAACAGATAATTTGGACAGTCACAGATACCAAAGCCGAGGGATGTAGAACAGCTGTGGGCATGGCTCCCCGAGAGCTGCCCCGGCCTGACATGGAGCACGTAGCAGCTGGGGAACCCAGAGGCCCAGCTGCCTGCAGGGGCTGGAGGGACAGAGCATAGGGAGGGCACACTGCCCCCCACAAGTAGCCAGGGGTGCTTCCAGCTGCTCTGCAATGCAAGGCTGAGGCAGGCAGCCAGGACCCCAGGTGTTCTGCAGCACAGCAGAGCTGCCTACGCATGCAGGAGCTCAGGAGGGCCAGGCAGGAACGATCAGCCCTATGGGCAGGGGGCACAGTCCCGACACACAACACCAAGCGATTCCCTACACACCCATTTACCTTCCCAGCCCACTGGTGAGATCATGCCCCAGAGCCATGGGTGCCCAGGCACCCCCACAGGTGCAGCAGCAGGACTGGTGACATTCTGGCCCTGGAGCTACAGCTGCAGGGCAGGAGAGCTCTGCACACTTGATTTCCAGCTGAGCAGGGCTCTGCAGAGAGGCTCAAGTGAATGTTTTGTGGGCTCTGGTCTATATCCCCTCAAGTTGCTGCAAGCCCTTCCCAAGCCCTCAACAGGCCAGACCCAGGGTACTAGCTCAAGGCTGTCCCTCTCCCGCTACCCGGGAGCTGTGCAGGTTCCCAGGACTGGTGCCATCCCTGCCAAGCAGAGGAGAGAAAGTTCGAGCAGGGAGCAGGACTGAGGCATCTCCCTCACTGCCTTAGGTGGGCAAATCCAGGGGGGCAGAGCAACTACAGACAGATGTGTAGGTTGCTCTCAGGGACAGTACAAACCCCAGCACCAGAACTCTGCCCAACCCTGCTCTAGGCCTCTGGGTTAGGAAGGTGGGGGGTTTGACCTGCCCCACAGCAGCTGGACCTTCCTATGTCCTTCCCTGCAACTACACAGCCTCCATCTCCCATTCTGGTAGCAAGGGAAGGAGCAGAGCAAAGCCGAGGGTCCCCCAAAGCCTGGCATCCCATATTGCCAACTGCTGGTGTTCATGGGGAAAGGATAGGAAACATGCTGCACACTCCCCTTCATAGTCCTGTCCTGGTGACCCACACCACTGTGCTGCCAGCACTGCAGGACAGATGGGACATGGACACTGGAGCCCCACCAACTTTTTGGGGCATAGCCAGGCTAGGCAGAGTTCTGATTGGCTTGGGGCAGCCGCTGGCAGTCCAGGCCCAACCTGGGTGCCTGTACTCACATTCCTCAGTCCCTGCCAGTCTGGCAGTACCATGCTGCAGCCATGCTCCCTGCAGGACACAGCGGTGTGGAGCCAAGCCAGGGCTGTTTCTCCACCCTCCCAACTCTGCTCTAAATCCCATGGGAAAGGCAGACAGCAGCCCGAGATCCCGCTGGGATCCCTGCCTCAGGGCTAGGACTGAGGCCTGGACATGGGACTGCCAGGACAGCTGCAGGCAGGTTTATCCCCAGCACAGGGTTGAAGTGGGGAACACAGGATGAGATTAACTGTTCATTTAGCCAGGCCCTCAGACATAATCTCCTGAAGAGCCTAGGCTGGGGCTTCCCCACTAACTCAGCTCTGCCACCCAGTGCCGCTTCTCGGGGAAATGCCACAGTGATTTATAAATAAGTGTAAAAAGAGACCAATGCACCTTTTAAGCAAAGGAAAACCATGGGGAGAGTTATACAACCAGTGACTCGAGCACAGCCGAGGTGCAGATCAGAGAGCAGGCAGCGGGAGGCCCTTCCTGGGCCGGCCCCTGAAGCCACCTGGCTCAGTGAGCCCAGCCATGCCCGCTGTGCTCCTGGCTGTGCCAGGCACAGCTAACGGGACAGGGGCGTCTGTTTGAGGGAGATGAGCACCGAGCGCATCCGTGACACATCCTTGCTCTGCTTGCTGCTCTTGGGGTTGAAATCACACAGCTGGGCCACCTTCTCCCACTCAGAGCCTGGGGTCTCCTCCTTGGACTCCTTCAGGAATGCTTCCTCCGAGGCCCTGCAGAGACATTGAGGGTTGTCACTGGCAGACCCCTTTCCAAGGAGACTCTTCCTTCTGTCTTAAAAACCCATGTCCTTTCCTATCCCTTTACTCCACCTGATAAGCTCAGTGTCCTCTGGGACCCAGAGATACACGATGCTCAAGTCTGCCTTTGGCTGCACTCACTCAAAACATCATTCATCCAGAGGTGCAGGAGTATCTGCCTGCTCCCAAGACTTCACCCCCCCGAGCCATCCCCAAAAAGGCATAAGAACCTACGGCTTTGCTTCTTCAACCAGCTCCCACAGAGGCATTTCCAGGAGCTCCACTCATCTCCTAAAACTCCACCATTTGGAGACACTCAGCTGCATCATCCTCCCTCTGGTACCTCACCAGAGCCCAGTACCTCCCAGCATCTCCCCTTCCCTTGGCTGGGCAGGCAGTGCTGGGGCAGGGACCCCCAGAGCCTGGGGGCAGGATATGGTCTGTAAGAGGCACATACACGTAGCCAATGATATCGGCGTCCGGCTGCTGGTAAAAGGCTTTGTCAGCGATCCTAGCCCCGGGCACAGAGAGAGAGAGAGCGGAGTGGAGCGACAGGCACGCAGAGGGTTAGAAAGAGAGAACAGAGGGGGTTAGTCCTCCCAAAGACTGACCCACACACTGCAGCACACCAGAACCTGGAGCCCAACCCTTCCCCCCCTGCAAGCCCCATGCAGGGGCAGGAGGCACCAAGATCCCAGGGTGATCCCAGTGTGGTTCCAGCCACAGTGGCTCTGCACAGCCACCAGAGCCACTCCAAGACCTGAGGTCTCTGCCCTTGCTTGGCAAGGCTCTGCCCCTACAGGGCTGGGCCCCACTGTGGGGAAAGAGGCCCTCAAAATCCCAGGAAGGCAGAGAGTCCTTTTTGGCCATGCTGACCCTGATATACCTGTTGTTTGCTCGGTTCTTCTCCATCTGCTCATTCTGACGCAGGTTCCACTCCTCCAGGTCCTTCTTGGCCTTCTCACGCCATTCCTGCTCAGTCACCTTTGATGCTGCATCTAAGGCCCGAGTGAGACAGAGCCCATCAGCCACAGTGGCACCTTCTGGGTGTGCTGGGCAGCCCCTCAGCAGGCAGGTCAGCTGCAGCCCCTCACACCTGTCCCCAGTCCCCACCAATACTGGCCAAAAGGCACCACTGCCCCAAGGATAGCAAATCTTTGGCAGGGGCATGAGACGTCTCTCTGGGATGCAGCAGGGTCACCAAGAAGTGAGGGACCCCAAGGGCCCTGACTGCCATGTCACAGGGTGCCACAAGCAAAAGGGGCTACACATGGCCTTGGGTCTCACCCAGCTCCTCCAGACGCTGCTTCTGCTCCTCCCTCCACTTGCGGATGCTCTCGGGTTCCTGGGTCAGCCGGTCAGCCTTGGCTATGGCTGCATAGGCATCCGTGGGACCGTTGGACTCCTGCAGCACATGAGCACCTCACCATCAGCACCAGTGTTTCCAAGAGCCCAGCCCAGCCACCTCCAAGGGCTGGCAGCAGTCAGGACTCCACACTCCCAGCACCGACAATCCAAGATAGGACGTAGGAAGGGTCACAGCTTGGGACATGCGGGACAGTATTCCCAAAGTGTTCAAACTCAGCTCAAACTGCTGTCCCAGCCTCAGACCCTGTCACCTAAAGCCTTCCCAGCGTTTCCCTCCTTGACTTGCTGCTCACTGCCCCCACAGCTCTTGTATCCTTCGGGCAGCCCCACTGCACAGGGCAGACACTGGCCTTGGGCCTGCTCCCCAGGGATTCCCTGACCCTCACTGGGTCCCAGGCAACTCCAGGACTGAGCTGCTTCCCTCACGTCTGAGCTGAGGGCCCCACCAGCCCCAGCACCTCCCCTAACACCTTCCACTGGCCAGACGCCCAGTCTGACACCAAGCTCAGCAATGGGATTACAGCTTTCTTCCAAGATCCTCAATCTAATTAAATCTGCCCCATTCCTGAGGAGATTATCATCCTGTAAACCAGGCATGGGCAGTGCATATGCCCTACTGCTAGGCACCGGGTGGGGTGAAGGGCTTGTCAGACACTGGCACTGCTGACAGCAGAGCTGGGCTTCAGACTCCCAAAAGGATCTGAGACCCAGGTGGGTCCCCCTGAAACACCCCTGGCCACAAGACAAGTGGTTTTCATGAGAGATCCAAGTCCCATGGCAGCCCTATCCTGTCTCTGGCCTCTGTCAAGAGATGCTCCTGCCTGCCCCAGAGGCCTCCAGAAGCTACCTAAGCTGGAGAGAGAGGGCTTCTGTGGGGAATGGACAATTTGTCACCTGCTCTTAGGGCCCAGGCACTCCTTCATAGCACCTGCACACAGATGTGGGGCAGGTCATGGCAGGTGGGACACATCTTCTCTCCAAATAGAATGGAGCAGCCAGGACTCCCACAGGAGACCCAGACCTTTCCAGGAGCACTGTAGCTGTTCTGCAGCTAGATAGCAAACGCCAGTCAATGCTGGGGGCAGAGCAACAGAATGCTGGACCCACACCCACTCAATCTCCCTTAACAGCCCTGGGCTGAGCTCTCACCTGAAAGACATCTCCATTGACAGTGGCTCCTCCATTCTGGAAACCTGCTTGAGAAAAAGGAAGAGAGAAGGAAAAACACAACTATGGCAGCTGCAGGTGATCCCAGAGGGGCTGGTGTTCATGAAACTACATGAGATCAGTTCCTGGGAGTTTGAGCCTTTTTCAGCCCAGCACACCCATGCACAACACTCCCACAGTGTCCTGTCCTTGGTGGGATTCAGTGAGCACTTCTTACTCTCCCACACAAACTTCTGCAGGCATTTACATCTTTATGGTGTTTTCACTGGTGTTTAATCTTATCTGAAGATTAGGGAAACTGCTCCAGCACGAGAGTGACCCAGGCTGCTGCTCTGACTGTAGAAACACAACCTGACCAACCCCATCCTGTAGAGGCTGCCGATAGACACAGCTGATCCAAGAGCTGCCGGTCAAGTACCAAGGCAGCTCTCCAGGGACACAGCCCATGGAAACACTCTTTGTGCTCCACCAGCACAGGAGGGCATGCCTGCACACCAAGGTCCTTGGGAGCCCACCTGGGATGAGCTGCAAGGTCAGGGTTGGTAATGAGGCACCCATCTGCCCCCACAGCCTTAGAGAGCTGCCCACCTGGGTCACAAAGCCAGCCCAGGCAGGGGGCTTTGTGCTGCCAGGAGAGAAGAGGCTTTGAAGGAGTCACACTCCAGGCCCTGAGCTTTCCCCAGTGACCACAGGGCTTCTCCTTGCCAGCCAGCTGCAGGCACAGACATAGTACAGCTCAGGCCAGCACTAGCCCCAAAGTGTTTACCCCTATAACTACACCCAGCTTCAGCCTGTCTCACTTCATTTATCACTGTGGCTGTCAACACCTCCTCAGGCCCAGATCTGCCTCCATGGCCCTGTGTGCAGAGCTCTGAAACCACTGCTCCACGGCCAGCATGAGGAGACCGTGGGGCTGGGTTAGGGGAAGGAGTCAGAGCCTTATGGCAACAGTGTCCCTATGTCCATATAGAGAGCAGATGCCAGAGCCCCTGCAGACTGGAGGCAAGAGATCAGAATTAGCAGATTCTACCTGCAGGGCCCGGGACCACAACGTTCCCAATGGCAGTGTCTTCCATTTTGCATCCCAAAGGGCTCTCCTGTCTGTGGGGACAGTGACAAGGCTGTCATTGCTCCTCAGTGCCGCCTGGATGCCTTTTACACTGCCATAGCTGAGAGCATTGAAACATGGAGTCGGGAGGCCATCCAACCCGGGAAACCCAGCCTGAGCACAAGAGGGAGAAATCGCCCCATGGCTGGCACATCCCAGCTCAGGATTCACCCCAAGTCCCTGCGGTTCGAGAAGCCCTTTGGGCACAAGCACAGGCCCAGACAATCCTTGCTAGGATGCCAGCCTGGCCCACAGGGTCACCCCGCCACCAGCCCCTGAGGTGCAGCACAGACCCCATCACCCACCGGGGATGCTGTGCATCCCCCAGGGATCCCAGCCCCACGTAGACGCGGCCCGGAGGACCCTTCCGTGCCTTCGGGGCAGAAGGGGGCACAGCCCTCAGTTACCTCACGAGGTCAGGAGCCTGCCCGTACCCAACAGGAGCGCAAAGGGGCGGCCCCCGCGGGCGTGCTCACCCTGTTCCGGCAGGGCCGCCTGCCCGCCCGGGGCGGCGGCCGCCTCGCCATCGGTCGGCCCGAAGCCCTCATCGTTCTCGATGCCCGCGATCTCGCTCTCCTGCTGGGCCAGAAAGGCGGCGGCCGGGTCCTCCTCGGCGCCAGCGCCCTCAGATGAGGAAAAGAAGCCGAAGTCGTCGGCCATGACCGGCCCGCCCGCGCCGCTCCCGGTCCGGCTACGCGGCTCGGCTGGGCTGGGCCCGACTATGCCCGGGCGGAGCTGTCGCTGTCACTGCGGCGGCGGGCGGGGCAGCCGCGTTTACATCAGCGGCGGGGCGGGCCCGCGGGTGCGTCCCGCCTCCCCACCAGCCGCAGCGGGCACGGGGAGCCGGCGCTGCCCGCCTGCCTTCCCCGCGCCTCGACTGGTCGCGGTCCCGCCGTGCCGACCCCTCACGCGGGCGCTTGTAGCTGCGGGTGGGAGCGGGGGTCCCTCACAGCCTCCTCCATCTTAGTAGCCACCGCCATCTTGGGCCCGGCGCACGGGCGGCCCAGCGGGACGAGGGGTGCCCGGCAGGACCCACCCGGCGGGGACGGAGGTAGCGGGCAGGACCCACTCGGTGTCTGGCAGCCCCCGCGGTGACGGGAACACAGCCAGCTCCCGGGGGTCTTCGGCTCATATCTCCCCCCGCCCTTGGGCTCAGGGCCCGCTCCCACAGCAATAGGCTGTCCCCTCATCCCCGGCCTGTTCCGGGAACACCCGAGCAGCCCTTGGTACATTTCGGAACTCCTCGTGTGTCCGCCGGGAGCACCCGAGCGGTGCTCGGCACACTTCGGAATTTTACGTGCGCCCGCCGGGGACACCCGAGAGCGGCCACCGCCGCCGATGGGATTCGGGCATCTCCGGACAGGCCCTAGAGCACTTCGGTTTTGTCCGGAATGCGGCCCAGCTGTTCCGGCGGCGGCCGATAAACAGCCATTGGCCGCGCCGCGCGGGGCTGGGGTGGAAGCGTGGGCGGGCAACGTCACTTCCGGAGAGTGACGGAGCGGCGGGTCAGAGGCGGCGGCAAAATGGCGGCGCCTGAGGAACGGGAGCTGACAGCGGAACAGACCGAGAAGCTGCTGCAGTTCCAGGTGCCACGTCCCCGGGGGCCCGTGCCGGCCGGCGGGAGCGGGGGTGGCGGTGCATGGACACGAAACGGGCTGAGCTAGGCCCGCCCCGCCGGCGCTGGGGGGTCCGGGGCTCACAGAGCTGGGTAGGCCCACCTGGAGCGGGGTGTCGGGCTGGGCCTGAGGGGACGGTGAGAGGAGCGACACCTGTGGTCCCAGTCCTGGCCGGGGTGAGTGAGACTTCCGTGCCCCTAGCTCTTCGTCGGGGCGAGGTTCTGTCATCGCTAACTGGGGAGGCGAGAGGTGGCTGCTGAGTAAATTCTGTGCAGGAAAAATTCCTTGGTAAGTCCCGGCCATTTTTATTAGGCTGAAAAATTTCCTTGTCGCAGCTGGAGAGACTTTCCTGGCACCGAGGGGGAGAGTGGGTTTCTGTGGAATATGGTTCCTGCCCCTCGCGATTGGCTAACGCCTCTGGAGACTGTAATGATTTAATCTGTGTCTGCTACACAACACAGGCAGGGTCGCTTAACCTTTGGTTTGCGAGGCCTGGGGCTGTATAGCAGATGAATGATCATAAATGCAATCTGAAGATGTGGTTTATTGGGGAGAAAACAGTGCTGGGTAGCTGAAATACTTGGGGTTTCTCAGTGATGAGTAATTAAATGTGCTGAGCAATGAAAATTACATTCAGGTGTCTTGAGTTTGTTTCTGAGCTGTAGGACATCATGTGGCGTCCCTTGGATTGCAGTTCTTTTACAAATACAGTAATTACTTTTAAGAGTGTTTTGTCTGCTTTTGTTGCTTTACATTATTTTTTAAAAAAACTATGCATTGGAAGTCTGGTGTGATGTAGCTGCAGATTTAAAGGGCCTGAAGGGACTCCAGAGGCATCTGGCCCTGCCTTCCCCTTTGAGACAGTGCAGGTGTTCATCATTCCACACATTGACTTCCCAAGCCTTTACCTGATTCACAGCCCCCTGACTTAATTAATGTGCTGAGATGTTTACCCATGACTGGACCTATGAGGAAACTTGCTCTACAGATGTCCTCTCTGCCCTCTTGGGCAGTCAAATTAAATACAGACAAAAGGCACAGAGCAGTGTTAACCGTTGCTGTCCCTGTGCTGCCTGATGAGTAGGTGACAATTTTGTGCATATAAACGTGCAAAAAATTCCATTATCTTGCTGTGAGATATCCTGGTTCTTGTTCATCTGCTTAGTCTGGACAGGTAGGACCAGCTGCTCTTACCACTGCCCCTGCTGCTATTTTCAAACCCTTGTGGGCAGCTGTGAAATAAAATAATCCTGTTTCCCAATGCTACCTGGTGTTGTAATGGACAGAGGGCTGCCAGGGAACCAGAAGGAGGGATTCATGCTTTAGTCCAGCTTCCTGTTAAGCCCTAGTTTGAGGCACAGGGAAACACCCTTCAGGCTGTAAAGGGGAGAAATATTTTCAGTTAGACCACTGCTATGCAGAGCCAGATGTGAAAGCTGTGGTTCAGAAGGCTTGGATACCAGCCAGAATCCTCACTCTGTCTTCTGGGGTGTGTTGGATCAGCTTTCTCCAGGGGTAATGACAGACCTCACTGGTGATTCCTTCTCCTCTGATATGTAACACCTGCTTGAGAAGGGCTCAGGTGTGAGTAAATCCTCAAAAGTAAATTAGTCCACCTGGAAGAGGTGTTTTTTTTCTTGGAGTCCAGTAGGAAGAATGAGGTGTTTGGAGAGATTTGCTAAGTCTCATTAAAATAATTTGTACGTTGCTACAAGTCAGCTTGGAAAGCCTTCAGAGATCCCTGCTGACTTTGCAGGGAACACTTCAGTGTTTTCAAGGATAACTTCACACTTTGTGATGTGCCATCATAAGTAGGCTGTAAGCATTCCATGGTGACAGAACATTGCAGTTCCACAGAAGGTTATATCCCACTGCAGTGTGAACAGACCAGGAGAGCAGACTAGAAAAGAAGGCAGGGTGACAAAGTGAGGTAAGGAATAGTAGAAGGCCCTCTGTTAAACAGAGAGGGCCAGAGGGAAGCATTGTGCAAGGATGAAGATGCTGTTTATCCTACTTCTGCTGGAAAGTGCATCTTTCCAGGCAAAGGTGAATGTGCTGTCCTGTCCTGGCCCAAGCTGTTTGGCACAGTTCTGTGATAGTGCCTGCTCTGCATTAATTCCACTGATGTTTGTGTGGTGGGTTCTGTAGTGCTTGTACAAACAGCTTTGCTGGCAGAATGCTGAAAACAGCAGCTCCCTTTTTGTGGGCAGGGCTGGAACAGGGCAGCTATCTGTACCATGCTGGGGCAGGTTAGTAAAGGAAAAAATAACAGTAGAGAAAACTGGGATCAACTTGAAATGAAAGCAACAGATCCTCTTGCATGCTTTCAGCCTCCATTTACTGTTGGAGAGCTGGCTAATAATGTAAGGGAATAAAAGCATCTAAATTTTTCATCTGTCAAGACCTCTCTGTCCTGACATTTGGAGAGAGGAGTTTGATGTGGGCAGTTTAGGAAAGCTGTGAAGATATGATTCATTTGGGAGGTGGAAGAAACAGCAGAGCAGCTTTTGTAGGATCTGGTTATTGATCTGTGCCCATTACACTTGGGCTGATGTCTGATATTGTAATATGCTAATGCAAAGTAATGGAGTGTTATTTGCAAAAGAGTTGGCACTCATGATATCATCTCTGACTTCAGCTGGGGAAAACAGAATGCTCAAGGCTGGATATGGCTCTGATTTAGGGGAAGGAGGAAACATGAAACTCCAGGCAGCTTTCCCACTCAGTGTATCGATCGAAATCCTCAGAAAGGCATTTGCTGTAGTATGTAATGAGAAACTCTTGGTTAAGGCGTTTTTCCAGTTAGAACTCAGATGTTCTTTACCCTTGGAAAGTAATTCTCTGGAATTTGGCAGTGGGCTGGGAAGTAAGAGCAGTGCCAGTTAGTCCTGTGGATTTGCATCTCTTGTGCTGTGTTTCAACATCAGAGTGTATCTGCAGAGGCAACGGTTTCGTAAGTCCAGTTTACAACCTTTGTCCACTCAGGGGTATTCCTTCTGCTTTTGAAGCATGAAATTGTACTTTCCACTACTCCAGTATTGAGAAGATTTTGAGCAGTCTTCAAAGGTGAGAGGTACAAATTACCTCCAGCAAAAGCTTCATTATGCTTTACAGTAACACTCTTGCTTTGTGAAGCACTTGAGAAAGCACTGTTGAACTTTTCTGGAATTTGTGGAATTTAATATTTTGTTTTTGAAATATTAGCCACTGTGTTGGGCTTGGATTTATGAGTATGTTTGAGAGTTCTGGTTTAATGGGACTAATTTTAACTGCTTACTGTATCTGTAAGATACATGCTCTTAAAGGCAGCTAATAAGAGACCACAGTGAGCAGCAAGGTTTGAAGATACTGGTTATTCTCTTAGCCCTGATGGTACTAAGAATGTGCTCATTTGCAGCTGAACAAAGTTCACCAGAGATATTGTGAGTGAGGCAGTGGAAATGATGTGGTGTTTCAAGTTTCTGATCTGTTTCCATGACTTGGTGAAGCAGGGGCTGTAGGAGCGTCATGAGGGTGATAATGACCAGTATCAGTGTTTGCCAGCCAGAGTTGTCTGGAGTGGCAGTTGAACTGTGGTCCTGCCATTCCTTACATCGGATGTGGGTCATTCTGAACCCTGGTGTGTCTCCCAGAGCATGGTGGAGCTGTGGTGTATCCAGTGGAGCACATCAAAGTAAGAGCCAGCAAGGTGTTGAGTTTTAAAAGCTGCCTTTGCCAGCCAGGTTTTTCCTGCAGTGTTTAATTGTGAAGCCTCATTGATCAGACAAGTGGCAGCACTGTGCTGCCTGGAGTGGCTTTGTCAATTCTGGTTTGAGTTGAGAGCAGCTGAATTAAGATGCTGAGGAAAGAAAAAAAGAAAAGAAAAAACAAAAAGAAATTCACGTTCCTGAAGAGCTTGAGTAGAAGACTCAGAGGTGACTAGAGCTGTCTGTCACTGTAGTGGTGGTCAGGGAGGGTGAAGCTGGCTGGTTCTGGTGTCTCTGTGGAACTTAGAAGGTCTTGCAAATACTGCAGTGATTCAGTGCTCATTAAATGCTTGTTCATAGCTCTGCTGCTTTCTGACCTGAAACTGCAGAAGAATTTTGCATGATTTAAAAAGGAGGGAGTGCTTGGTGATGTTCTTAGTGCTCATAGATAATCCAGGCATTTAGAGACAAAGGTGTAAATGAGTTTCTGAATTTTGTAAACTTTGTAAACACCAGCAGAATTTCTAGGGTGACATTTCCATTGAGGAATAGTGATCAGAAGACTTTCAGAGCTCTGGAATAAACACATTGTGACTCCACTGTAAAATCAATTAATTGAGTAGATTGCAGGTGCCTTTAATGGTGCCCTTCTGAAAAGACAGTGAAGTGCCTGCTGCATTGTAGGAATTCAGGTTTAAAAAATAAAGTCAGAATGCAAAATAAATTGAATAAAAAAATAAGTAAAAAATAAAGTTAGAATACAAACTCTAAATTTTATTCTGTGAAGCGCATCTTTAAAGGAAGATAGCCAAACTAAAACATTAAATGATGAAACTGAGGGATAATCAAAGGTATTCTAGCAGCAACAGCTGAGTTCACTGAGCTTTATTTCTTCTATGAAATCCAATTCTGCGGTGTTCCCTTGCAAGGCTTGTTGCAGACTTACTTTTTAATATTTATACACCACTGAACAACAACTTGAAGTGCTTTTTCTCTGAGCTTCTGCAGCCACAGTGCTTTAAACAGTCTGATTGGTTGTGTGCAGCAGAATGAAACAATGATTTTAGCCCAGTAGATTGGAGAGAAGATGGAGATCTGGAGACTTCGTGAGAAAGAAGCCAAGAAATGCTCAAAAGTTTGAACTGAGCCCAGACACTGAATAGGGCATTTGTCCACAGTGTTTGTTGCTCGGGTGGAAATGGCATGTGGAATGTATGAATGGGGGCAGGGAGGGGAATAGATGCACCATCCTTCTCCAGTAAAAAAACAATTCAGTGCGTTCTTAAATGGTCAGCCTGTCAGGAGTGCATCAGGAGCTTTTCAAGGCAGCAAGGAAAACATCTGCTCAGACCTTAAAGCAAATGCAGTGGGGAGAGATGTTTCTGTGGCACAGTGACAGGGATGTCCCTTCAGCAAACATTTGTCTCTGTTCAGGAGATACTGATGTGGCTTCCTGTAATAAGAGACGTAATTGTTTGATCTCCTGTGCAGAAATTCTGATTGGCACAGGGTAAAAATGCAGCCAGTGGCTTTGAGGTTTGGACTGTTTTCTGTTTTGGGCCCTGTGTTGGACTGTATCTGCTTTTCTTTACTACACTGTTTACTATACTTTTTTTACTTCCTCTGTGGTGCTGGGTACATCACCTTCAGTAATGCCTGGCTCATTTTGGTTTTAGTTTCTGTTTATGCTGGCAGTGAGTGGAATAACAGTCATCTTGAGTTTTCAGAAATGCTTTGTCTGTATTTTGAGTTCGAGGTGATGTTTGAGGGCACTGTCTTTTCAGAGTGAAGCCTGTGGGCAGTATTGTGTTAAACCCTTGACTGTGCTGAGTGCTGTTGTAGTGGCAGACCTTGAGCATACAGAGAGTTGGCTGGTGCTGGAAGAGTGCAAAGGCCTGTTTGAGGCCTCCTGTCTGTTTATGGATTTTGGTTGGCTCAGGTCACTCTGCTCTTAAACTCAGAGCAGGGCACTTAAAAATTGAGCGTTGTGATAATGTGTTGTGGTAACTCCCCTCATATGCTCATGGTGTTGTTAAGAGCAGTCAAAATGCAACACTTCCTGGCACTCATCTCCTTTTATTCTCCTTCTTTAGGACTTGACTGGCATAGAGTCCATGGACCAATGTCGCCACACACTGGAGCAGCACAACTGGAACATAGAGGTACCAGTGAAAATGAAATTTGTAGCAGTTTCCAAGTACCTGGATTAAATGCAGCCCTCTGGGTGGGGGGGTGGCCCCACCAGTAACATTAATCTGTCCACCCCTGGATTTACCCAAGTAGCTCTTTAGAGCTGTATCTCTACCCGTCTGGAGAGCTGGTTTCAGCCAAATACAACAGAGTCATTATGGCTGTGAACAATCCCTTGACTGGCACACAGTGTGGCCTCCTGTGGAGCCTGTGTGCTGGCTGCCATGGAGAAGGCTTTCCACATGGAAAAGAGCACTGGTGGTTGTTGTTTGTCAGGAATTGTGCTTATCCAATGCCCCAGGGCTATGGACAAGTAATACCCACTGTCACTGTCCGAAGTATAAAAACCATAAAATGCCTGAAACCTCCCTTTGCTCTTTCTTATGTCAAAGGCAGCTGTGCAGGACCGCCTGAACGAGCAAGAGGGTGTCCCAAGTGTCTTTAATCCTCCTCCACTGCGGCCGTTGCAGGTCAATACAGCTGACCACAGGATCTACAGCTACGTTGTCTCAAGGCCACAGCCAAGGGCAAGTTATCTTACAGTGGATTTTGTCCTGCTTCTTGGCTGACTCTCTATGAACACAGAATTTGCAAGCAGGGAAAGAAATTGTTTTCTTTGCATGCTGTTATCTCCTTTCTAAATATTTTATCTTACGAAAACAAAATGTAGAGCTATTTCTTCAGTTTCTGTTACTGCTGTGGAAATTTTATCCATGGTGTGTTTCACAGTATGAAGACTTTTTTCTGTCTCTTTTTTGACTGTCTTCCTGTGGTGTAGTAAAGCCTTTTGATCAGTTGAATTTGAACAAAGGATTGTCCCCTTCATGTGGCAGGGAAAATGTTTTTCTTTTTAGAGCCCCCCTTAAATGTGTATTAACTAAAATAAAGTATCAATTACTTTCATTAATGTTTTACAAACAAATTTGCACAAGCACCTGTAAGACTTGGTGCTGTTAATCTCTTTGTATAGTTAAGAAAATTAATTCCTTATTTGTAATTGCAGGGCCTGTTAGGATGGGGTTACTACTTCATAATGCTTCCATTCCGATTTACTTATTACACATTACTTGATATATTTAGGTAAGTCCTTGTTTGTGCTGACTCACTTATTGACTGCATCAGGGAACACACTAGCTCAGATTTGGCTGGATCTCTGTCACTTAGATCTTTAAGCCTCATGACAGATTTTCCATTTGTTTGCTTAACTGGCATTATCTGTAGCCTTGTAAAGTTCCTATGCTGTTTAGTAAGAAATAAATCTTATTGCAGAGAAAAGGAGCACCTTGCAGCCCTGTAAATGAAGTGTTTAATTGGAGCTCTAACTCCATGCAGCTTTACAGTCTGAGTGTCACACAAAGGGGTTGCAAAACAGTGTCCAACTGTTTGGTGTTCTTGGACAAACATCAGAATCGTGTCTCATTGGGCTGGGCTGCAGGTTAACCTGCCCTAAGTCCTGGGTGTTATTTGGCAAAACCCAAACTGTAAACACATCTGCTTTATTCCCTTTGGTGTCTATTGCCTCTTCTCCCTTTACTGCCCCAAAGCACTAATTCTCCTTGTCTCCTTTACAGCACTGATAGAGAGAAAAGGGAATTGTAAGGGTGGTAAATTGCCAGCAGTCCTGACATCTGTACTGGTTTGGCAGTTCTCCCTGTTGTATTCCTTTTTTAAATTAAAGATATTTCCAAAGTTCAATGTATCTTCTGTCCATTAGTAGAACTAAACCACGCTGATACCTGCCTTGAAGTGAGGCTTTTTCAGCTTCAGAGGAGTGACAGTTTCATAGGACTCCTAATGTAATGTTCACTTTCTGCAAATTTTTGTACATTAGCATTGTTACTTCTGGATTAGCAGAAATGCAGTTTTCAAAGTTATCTGGACTAAATTGTGTGGCTTTTAACAGCCAATCTTTGACTAAATTCCTAAAACCTCCTGTTGTTGGTGTGGCTTATGCCTGATGCTTCAGAGGAAACTGAAACTATTTAATCACACAGAATTCAGATGCTTACTGATCCCTGCTATGAGGTGAATCTTCTCTTGTGGTTGGTTCTGTAGCAGTGGTATCAGTTTGGAGTGAGCATCAGTTTAGGTTCAGATTATAAACCTTCAAAGGTCTCAGCTGTGACTTCTTTCCTCTTTATGAATCCCTTCACTGTCTGTGGAAAAGAAAGCCTGTTCCTCAAGAAGTCAGTGAGCTGAATTTCCAGTGTTCTTTGCTTCTTTCCCAGGTTTGCTCTGCGTTTTATACGCCCTGATCCTCGTAGTCGAGTCACCGACCCAGTGGGAGACATTATTTCATTTATTCATATGTTTGAGGAAAAATATGGGAGGATACACCCTGTTTTCTACCAGGGAACTTACAGCCAGGTCAGTGTCACATGTTGGTGCCTAGATCCTGGGGAGTGGGGATTTTGCCACATGGTATCAGGGCCTACATGGCAAAATTGCTTTTCATCTACAAGCCTAGCATTTATTCCCAAACTCTCCTAACAGGGTAATGGAGAGCTAGTGAACAAGTGTATTGGGAAACCAGTGTCTGCCAGGCTTGATGATTTGCCAGGCCTGCAAAGTTGGAAAGCAGAGCTGCTCTGGCTGTTCCTCGACCGTCTGTGTGACTCTGTAGCCGACAGCTTTTCTTTGTAATCCTGCCTTTGTTTTTATAAACTGGTGTGCTGTGCCAGAGTCTGTCCTTCTGTTCACCAAATTGGGATTAACTGCCTGGGCTTGTATCACAATGCAACTTCACAACAGTGCAGGGCCTCAAAATTGAGAGGGAGCCCCTAAGAAATTATGGGCGGTGAGTGTTCCATATATCGAATCTGAGGGGGCTCTCTGTAGAAGAGGGATGTCCCCATGGACACTGCCTCTTCCACAGCTTCTCTCAGCCTGGCCAAGGGAAGGGTCTCCTGCAGAGCATCCCATCAGACAGTTGGGTCAGCACTGCTTCCTAAGTGCCTGTGGAACAAGTGTGGAGTGCCTGTGTGCTCCACACTGCACAGTGATGGAGCTCGCTGCCTCTGCAGCTCTTTGAGGCTCCTCTCCCATCCCTGGAATCCAAACTCAAGTAATCGTGGAATGGTTAGGCTACCAAAGCTCAGTGCCAGTAAAACAGGGAGCATATTGTGTTCTTATCCTGTGGTCTTGTTAAAAATGCTCTTGGGTGGGTGGAATCCACACACTGTAGATGTGGAAAGGGAGGGATTTTTTTCTTTGTTGCCTGGTTCTTGGGCCTGCAACATTATTTATTATGAGTCTTAATAGAATTTTCATTTGGTGTGATTTGAAGATTGTGTCTGTACAGGCTCAAGGGAAAGCTCAACCTTGGCCACTGTGAGTCCAAGGGGTGAAGGAGGTTCTTCACTGCCAGCTGAGTCTGGTGAGGCAGCTGAGGTGTGAATCTATGGCATTGCCTACCCAGTTTCACTCTGAGTTCAGTGTTCCCCAAAGCCACATCCTGAGAAGATATGAGAGAACACCACTGTAGCCCTCTTAAATAAAGGCTTATTTAGAAGGTCTGACAGGTTCATCCTCCACTGCTGCTTCACTAAAATCACTCTAGTGGCAGAGTAATGGCCTGGGTCGCACAAGCCTTGTGGGTGCTGCATTCCCCTTGCCCAGACACCCTGTAACTTTACCTCCTCTGCTCTTATGCCAAGGCACTGAATGATGCCAAGCGGGAGCTGCGCTTCCTGTTGGTTTATCTTCATGGAGATGACCACCAAGACACAGATGAGTTCTGCCGGTAGGTAGGAGAATTTCCCAAATAATTGTCTTTGCATTTGAAATGCAGCTTCCTTCACATGGTCTCTTCTCATCCCCCAGCAATACACTGTGTGCACCTGAGGTCATCACCCTCATCAACACTAGAATGCTCTTCTGGGCTTGCTCAACCAATAAACCAGAGGGATACAGAGGTGAGTGTGTCCCTCCTGCGTTTTACCTGTCCCCTCCTGTCTCTGGAACAAGCCAGATGCTCTTTGACAAAGCTACGTATGTGAAACACTCTATTGTATTTTGTGCAAGTAGACAAGAGATTTCAGGATTGCATGGGGAAATACATATGTTGGTTTCCTGGGATATCTCAAAAGGTTTGGATGCCAGGGAAATACATTCTGATCTTCACCTCCACCTGTGAAAGTTCTGTGTGTTTCTGGGCAGTCATAGTTCTGTGCTCAGTGCTGTGGGTATTTGGGCTGCTTTCAGGGCCTTGTCAGTGGCACTTGGTGGGTGTGTGCTGGGCATAAACTGAGTGGAGAAACAACTATCCAACTAGATCTGTCCTTAACACTGGCTCCTGTGATGCCTGAGGCCAGGAAGAACTTGTTAGGTGCATTCTTTCCCTGAGACAGTCATCTTAATCCAGACCCAATCTCTGTGTCTCCTCAAAAGCCCACAGTGTTTGAGAGTTTTTGATATACCTGGCTAGACAGCAGTTTAAGGTTTTGCTTCAAGTGGAGCCTTTCCCCAAAGTTCTTTTCATGGCTTCTGTGCTGTTTCCACCATTTCTGTTTCATGGTCAGGAAAATGCTAAATTTGGGACACTCTTGGCGCCATAGTTCTGCTCCCAGTTATCAACAACTTGAGAGAATAGCTCTCTGAGGAGGCAGTCTTTGATTTATTCCTGTTTCATTGCTTTGGAGTTACAGCCTGGAAAGCAGAGCTGGAAGGGATCATGGCTTTCCATTTAATCCCTGAGCTGCTCTGATTTTGTTTGGGAGCTTCCATTGGTAACAATGGCCCCAAGTTGTATGATGTACCATGTGTGTTTTAAGGAGGAGATCAACAGCCATATATGAACAGTAACTTAAGCACATCATCTCTTCCATTCCCTGCTTCAGACGGAGCCTGCCTCCAGCAAAACCAACCTGAATTTGTTCAGAAATGTTCAACATGGACATGCTGCCATCTCTCCCATGACAGTTTCTTCCAGAGTCCAACCATCCCTAATCACCTGAGAAGTGTTTCCATGTGCTTGTCCTGTATTTCTCTTCCTGCAGTTTAAACCCATGGCTTTGTCCTATTTTGAATGGCTGTTCAGACCCATTTACTTCCTTCCTGCTTGAGTTAAAAGAGCCTTTTTTGGTTACTTGAAAGCTTGGTTTTTTTCCCATCAGTCTTTGTGCTCCCAAAGCCATTTCCTCCCTTTGCTAACTTACAGGATTTAATTTTCAAAATGGAGCCTGAGGCCTTTTCTGCCTAGGAAGAGAGAATGTCTGGGGAACGTGCTTTCCTTGGCCCTCAGTGATGGGAAACATTAGTGCCGTTGCCCTTGTGGGTGGGGTAGTGACATTTGTGCCTGTTGCAGTGTCCCAGGCTCTGCGGGAGAACACGTACCCGTTCCTGGCTGTGATCATGCTCAAGGACCGCAGGATGACGGTGGTTGGGCGGCTGGAAGGCCTCATCCAGGCTGATGACCTCATCAATCAGCTCATGTTCATCATGGATGCCAACCAGACATACCTGGTGTCCGAGCGCCTGGAAAGGTAGGGTGCAACCCGAGCTCCAGGAACACAAACCTTGTTGAGGGAGGCTCTGCTCTGTCCCCTTCCTCCCTCCAGACACCGTGTGTAGGCACATAGCTCAGCACCTCCCGTTCTGTAACACAGCCCATGGGCTCTCCTCTCACCAGGGGGATCATCAGTCCATAAATTCAGGCCACCTTATAGCCAGGGAGCCAGATGTGTTGCACACACAATGCCACCACTGAAAGGTGGATGTGAGTACTCTGTTCTCTGCAATTGGAGCACACCTTTGGCATGCTGGAGCTTTGCAGGGGCAGCTTGGACAATAGGCAGTAGAATCCAATTGGGAGCAAAAGCATTGCAGGCAGGAGAGTTGGTGTCCACTGCCAGCTGGTGAGTGCGTGCTGCTGCCTGGGCTGGCTGTGCTGAGCTCTGGCTGCTTTTCTGGTGGGGCCTCACAAGTTCCTGGTCACTCTTAGGGATGTACAGGTTACTTTCAAAACAAGATCCCACCATATGATTTTCTGTCAGTCCCTCCTCTGCCCCGTGCTATGTGTGGGGACACAGTAACACGTTCCAGTTTATGAAATGTGCAAGGAATTACCTGAAGGAGATAAAGCCAGGAAGAGTCTCAAATATGAGGCAGGAATCCTGGGCACTGTTCTTGTGCTGTCTGTCAGCTCTGTCAAACTGCAGGGGTTCAGAAGCCCTTTAAGTTCAGTTCCACCCACCCTCGTGAAGCAATTTCATTGTGAGGGACTGTGGGGACCTGGCTTGGCCTTTTGTGGGAGCTTGTGGTACCCCAGGGCATTACCTGCTGTGTGCTCCTATGAGTTGGAGGCTGCCCTGCATCCTTGGGTCTGCCTTCAGCCTGCCACCCCCTCACTTTAGGGCCTTTTAGCCCTGACCACTTCCACTCGTGTTTGCAGGGAAGAGAGGAACCAAACCCAAGTCCTGAGGCAGCAGCAGGACGAGGCTTATCTGGCATCCTTGCGTGCAGACCAGGAAAAGGAGCGCAAGAAGAAGGAGGAAAGGGAGAGGAAGAAGAAGAAGGAGGAGGAAGTGCAGCAGCAAAAACTGGCAGAGGAGAGGCGGCGGCAGGTGAGAGCAGAGGGATTGCAGGAGAGGCTGCAGTGTCCTGTGGGATGCCCGGCCTGCAGTCTTGCTTGGGGCTTGAGCATCCTTTGAGGCTCCTGGAGCAGCTGTGCTGCAGGGGACAGGCACAAAGGTAGTTCAGTGCACAACCATTGCTCCTGCTCCCTCCTTGCCTTGCAGACACTGCAGGAGGAGAAGGAGCGGAAGTCGGAGTGTCTCCCTCCAGAGCCGCATCCCGACGACCCCGAGAGCGTCAAGATCATTTTCAAGCTGCCTAACGATTCCAGAGTGGAGCGGCGATTCCACTTCACACAGTCATTGACGGTGAGCTTGGGGCAGAGCTGAGGGGCCTTCCAGAGCAGGGGGGTGAAGAGACTTGCAGGTGGCTCAGCAAAGCTTTATTTCCCTTGGACTTTGCCAAATGGTGACCTCTGCTGAGAGCCTTGGCAGGCAGAGCTGCTCCTTGGTAAGAGGGTATTGTGAGGCCTGGTTCCGCCAGCTTGGAAGAGGAGAGAAAATGGAAAAAGCTTTTTTTCCTCCTGAAAAGCTGGAAGGTGTCTCTGCCAATGACAGGGCAGGGTGGGACTAGATGATCTTTAAGGTTCCTTCCAACCCCTAACGTTTTATAATTCCACTGCTCCCTATGAAATAGAGGTGTAGGAAGAGCCAGAAACAGTGTCTAGTCTCCCCAGTGCTCTGTGCCAAGGAAATGGCTGTCTCAGGTCTACAGTGCAGTGATGGTGCAAATTTGGGAACCTTCCCCCACAAGATGCCAGGCATTCGTTCTGGCTGTGTCACTGCTCCCCCAGCTGGCAGTTATTTCTGTGCTTCGTTCCTAGGTGATCCACGACTTCCTGTTCTCCTTGAAAGAAAGCCCTGAGAAGTTCCAGATTGAGGCCAACTTCCCTCGCCGTGTCCTGCCCTGCCTCCCTACAGAGGAGTGGCCCAACCCCCCCACGCTGCAGGAGGCCGGACTCAGCCACACGGAAGTCCTCTTTGTGCAGGACCTCACGGACGATTGACACTTCTTTTTGGTTTTGTTTTTGTTTGTTTTGTTGTTTCGTTTTTGGTTTTTTTGTTTTGTTTTTTTTTTTCCAGAAGACACAAAACGGAAAGAGAAATTCATATTATTATTATAATACAATATTTTTTTTAAAAGACTGCGTACAAACGAGGGATCAGAGACCACATGGCCTGTGCCAGCTGTGCTGCGTGTGTGCGCTGGTGAGAGGATGCGTGCACACGGCCATCCCCTGCACCGGGGGGGCACACAGGAGGGAGCTGGTGTTGCCCCTCTGCCCTCCCTGGGGAGGAACAGGAATGGCAGCTCTTGGTAATTATTGCTTTTATTGATGACAATAATAATAAAACCCCAGCAACCCAACATCTCATGAAGATTTGATACTCTGCTGCTCCCAAGAGACACAAGACCGAGCACCGGAATGTGCTGGGAGTGGGGTGGGGGGAAAGGGCTGGACAGACTTTCTTCAGCTTCCCTCTGTGTATAAATACTGTTCTTTTAATATTTCTCTTGCTTTGTAATGACCAAAGGAGATTGGGGTTGACTATAGTATTAACTTTTTGATAAAGAGCTGGTTCAATTCTTACCCATGTGGGGTCTTGCCCAGGGTTCTTAGCCTGCGTAGTGTAATAAACTCTGCCTCTAGCATGTCTGTGCTGATGCTTTCTGCCCATACCCCAGGGAAGGGGGGGGTCAGCTGCTGTGGGACCTGTGACGCCCAAAAGTGTGGGTGCACTCAGCTTCTGCTCTCACACTGGTGCTTTTGTGCCAACGGAGTTGTTGCACGAGACAAGAGCAGGCTTACCATTGGGGATGGCAGGGCTGGAGGTGCTGCTGTGCCACCTCCTGTGGCATCGGCTGTGGGCTCAGGCTGGGAGGGAGGGAGCTGATGAGGCTGGGTCAGCCCTCTTGGAGGAGGTGAAAAGGTGTGGGAGGTGGAAAAGGAGTGAGAGGTGAGTGTAAGGCTGGTTTCTGCCAGAGGCTTGGTCCGGGCTGTGGAGCTATGCTATCAGCTGCCCAAAGGCAGAGTGGTAGGAGCCTGTTCCTCCAGTGACCTGACGTAGAGCCAGGAATGGTTTGGGGGTGGAAGGAATCTCAAAGCACATCTCACTCCTACCCCCTGCCACGGGCAGGAACACGGGGATGGCCTCTTCCCTGGCCCAGCATGGGAATGCTGGAGGGTTGCGATGGAGGAGAGGTGGAAGGTGTCCCACTGCTGTGGCTGGAGCCACCCAGGGAGCTCTGCGGTCCCGGGATAGCAGCCAGGAGGACTTTCCCATCTCTGTGCAAGCTGTGAGGAGTCTCTAGGTGGGAAGGAAGGGGGGTGTGTGGTGCTGCTCAAAACCAGATCCTGCTGAGAGAGAGCATCCAACCAGTCCCTGCTCTCACCCTCAGGCTCTCCTGGGCTCTCCTCCAACCCTCTCTTCCAGCTGCTGCAGCTCCTTCTCATCCCTGGCCCCCACACTTCCCCTCAAGCCCCCATGGAGACAAGAGCTGGGCCCAGCGTGTTGGTATACATCATACATTTATTAGTGAATATCCCTCTCAAAATCAGCCACAACATTAAAAAAAATAATGATTGCACTACTTGGTCAAGCAGAACTAGCAACTTTCATTTTAAAAAAAGTACAAATCTGTTAAAAATTTCAATCAGTATAATACACATATATATAATACAACATACTAGTTATGTTAAATGCTACAAAACCAATATGATTCCAATGGAATGGAAAAAAACAAACACTTTTAGAGCTTTAAGAACCTTTTTTTTCTATATATTAGCCTTTTTTCAAATACATACATGGGAAAAATGAGGTAACTGTAAAATGTGCAAGTAACAGAGCAAAAAAAATTATATATATATATTTATATATATATATATATATATAAAAACTTTCTAACACAGAACACACGTCCTAGCACCTTCCGGGGAGCCGCGGGGAACGCGGGGGTCCCGCCGGAGGGCCCGGGGACTGGTATAATAGAACAGTAAACAGTCCACTATCCCACCACAGGAATTCATTGGTAAACAGTGGTATCTACAGCGCAGTCAGCAATCACAAACACCCTAAATAATTGTTTTTTAGTATTTTTTTTGTCATTTTTTCTTTTTGTTATTTTTTTTAAATGATACTTTTAGCTGCTCATTGGAATAAATTCTGCAGCACACGAGCTGTGAGCTTTCGAGTCGCCGTCAAAGGACCGTAAGGCTTTCCTGGCTCCCTGGGCACCGCGAGGGCGGGAGGGGAGGAGGGGGCGTCTCCGGGGGCGCGAAGCCGGGGACTCCTTTGGTTATCTGTCACTGAGTGAGGGACGGGGAAGGGGCCGGGGTCCTGCCCAAGGGGCACCGAGCCCAGCGGTGCCGGCGCCCGTGCCACGGCGGAGCGGGTGGCGCCGGGCCGGGGCCCTTGGCCTCGACGCTCCGCATGGAGGGCAGCCGCCGGAGAGGTGGGAAAGGGCGGCGAGGGGGAGCTGGCCCGTAGCCCCCCACCTCTCGCCGCCCCCCGCGCCCGACCGGGCAGCGCCCGGGGCCGGCCCACCGGTGGCTGGCACTGCCCTCTGGCCCTCAGCGTGGGGAACACCATCGTGCCCACCGATGTGCCAGGCGCGGCTCCTCACCTCGCAGCCGGCCGAGCCACCGCCGGGGGCCAGCCCCGCGCCTGCCCCCCGCCCCGCGGGGAGCCGCCCCCTCCCACCCCGGTCCCTTGCACACGCCGCCGCCGCGGGCGCGGACCCCGCGGGGACGGCCCTGAAAGTCTCACGGTCCTGCTGTGGCGTTGCGGACATGTGCAGTACAGTGCATGGCAGTATCAGCTGAGCACAAAAACCCCTCTCCCCACCCCCCTCACCCCACAGCCGGCTAGACGTAGCCAAGACCACGTTCCAAGCTGGTCAGACATGCATGCATATTTGTGAACATTTACATAGGGCTGGCGTCCGCTCGGAAGCTCCCAGGCGTCAGCGACGCGCCAGGAGGGGAGGGCGGTGCTCTCACCACCACCCCTGCCACCGCCTCCCGTCACCCTCCTCGCTAATTAATCATGCAAAACAACGGCCACGCGGGATTGATGGAGCCGGGCGGCGGCGTGGCGGCTTCTCCCCCGACCCCTGCAAGGGCAGGGGGGATACGGTGGCAAGGGGACCGCTCACAGCTTCCCCTGCACCAGCCGGGCCAAGGCCAGGGTAGCACTGAAAATACTCCACGAGTTTTATTCCTAACACCCCCCTCCCCGCTCTGGGGGCCGCAGCCCAGCCGGCCCCTCGCTGCCCACCGGCCGGGGAAACCGCGCCGTCCAGCCAGCAGGACGGGGCACGGGGCTACCTTGATTTACATCGTCGGGACAGAGAAACGAGCAGGAGCCGGGGGCCGGGCGGCACACCGGGGACACCACATGCCCAAAGCCCTAGGGACGGGGTTGGTGTCCCCTCCTCAAGCTTGGCTGCTTTGTGGGATGCCACGTGGCCTGGCCCCGGGAGCTGCGCTGGCCAGGCACAGGGGAATGAACAGGGAGAGGGGCCAGGGCTGCGCCAGCACCATCCTCCCACTGGCAAAAGACCCCAAGCAGCCATAGCCCTCTGGGGCTCCCCAGGGCAGCCGAGGCAGGAGGGAGGCCATGCCAGGCTGTGCACAGGAGCGGGGACAGAGGCATTCCTACGTTCCTGCCTTTCTGCCCCAGCCACGCCACGGGGTTGCTGGTGTCCCAGCTTGGCCGCACTCTGCCAGCCACCTCCTCCGGCTGTCCCCGGGGCTGGGGTGCCACCGGCATCAAACCCGCAGCGCTCCCTCTTCTCTCCTCCCCTCCGAGGGGAGGAGCTGCCTGCGCGCCCCTAGGGCAAACGGCCAAAGAACCAAAAACGTGACGGAAATGAAAAGGAAACAATGGGGGAAAAAAACTATCGTAAAAAAAAAAAATAGTGACAAAGGGAAAAACCACTAATTCCCTAGCAGAGTACAAAGACCTGGAAAGTGATGGAGCAACAACAGCGTCTTTGGAGCGCAGAGGGCACGGCCACGCACCTCCCACCTCCAGCACAACACGATTCGGGGCCCTGGGAGCGCAGCGGGCAGGCGTCCGGCCGAGTCCGTGCCCCGACGGGGAGGAGGAGGGCTGGCCGGGAGCCCGGACTGCTCAATGCTCACCACATCCGAGGAGAGGCTTTGGGGAGGGGGGGTAAGCGCAGGGTCAGGCCCCAGCAGCGGGCAGCGGCCCCCGCCCCAGCCCGGCGTCCTTGTCCTCTAGCGAATTGTGCGGCACAGCGCCCGCCAGCCTCAGTCCGCCTCCCGCTGCACCTCCGACGCGTCCGCCCGGCAGATCGGGCACGTGCGGTTTGCCTGCGGGCAACCAGATACGGGCAAGTGAGCGGCACCACTGGCTTTCACTGCACACACCACACACCACTGGCAAGGCTAGAACCACATCCCAGGAGTGGCTTATCCAACCTTGCACAGTGCTTGACCCCAGCTCCCAGTGCACTGAGGCCACCCAAAAGGCAGCGCCCTATACCCACAGCACCCCAAGATGCCACCCTGCTTCCCACAGCAGGCACATGCAGTACCTTTAACCATTTGTCGACACACTTGGCGTGGAACTCGTGGTTGCAGGGCAGGACGCGGAGAAGCTGCCGGGCCTCAAAGTCACTGAAGCACACGACGCACCTGGGGGAAGCAGCCATCAGTACGGCCCCACTGCCAGCTCCCGTCCCCTGCCAGGCCCCCCACGTGCACCCCAAGCTCACTCACAGGGTCTGCTCGGACTGGTGGCTCTCAGGGTTGAAGCGGTAGGATGGGAGGTGCTCGATGTCTGCTTTGGTGAGTCCCCGTGGCTTGGCCTCCCCCAGCCGCTCGGCCAAGTTCAGCAGTGCCTGGAGGGAGATGCAGAGGCTGGCTCAGCTCACCTCATGTTCTGGCACAGCACCCCTCCAGGCTCTCCCCTCCCAACAGAGCAATCAGCAAATCCCCCCCAGCTCTCCCATCCTATCACTGCAGGGAAGCCAAGGTCACGCACCTCATAATTCTCCATCTCCACATCATCCACGTCCAGGTCTAAGCTGATCGTGGGCCCCACGGCCGTTGGTGACACAGGAAGCATAGAACTGGGGGGAAAGGGCAGGACAGTCAGCATGGGGCAGCAAACCCCAATGTCCACCCTGGCACCCCCTAGGGAGCAGAGCCCTCTGTGCCAACAGAGTGCCACTGTGGCCTCCATCCACAATGCCACCACTGCCCTACACATCCCACAATACCCCCACCAGTACTCACAGGAAATAGGGCAGGAAGCTCGGATAGTACGGAGGAGGCGGCGGAGGGGGTGGCGGTGGGGGCAGCGCCTGTTGCAGCCGGTACCGCTGGGTGTTCAGCCGCCGGGGCATCATGTGGGGGTATGGCTGCAGGGAGAGACGGGGCACTCAAGAGTCATGCCAGCCTCACAGTGTCCCCAGCCCCACCCCAGGACGGGGACTCACCACGCCAAATGGCAGTTCTTGGTGCAGCGGGTCATGGGGGAGGTAATGCAGTGGCATGGAGGGCGACAGCGTGGGAGCGTGGTGAGACGGAGGGTATGTGAAGCCTGCGATGGGGTGCTGCTCCCCTCGCAGGTCCACGTCATTGTCTATCCTCTGCAGAGGCTGTGGAGGCAAGAGTTAGGCTGGGAGAAGCATCCCAAATTACACCTCCCTGACACTATGAAGACAGAGGCACCCTGGGCACGCTGCCCACCACCCCCAGCTTAGACCCACAGGGGCTGCAGAAGGACAAGATCCCAAGGTGGTAGGTGCATCACGTCCCCATCCCATCCCTCCACACCAACTCACCATACGTGGATGCTGGGCTTGGAGAGGTACGAACTGCCCCAGGGGGGCCATGTGGGGCGGCTGGTGGGGGGGCACTGGTGGTGGGGGTGGATGCAGGATGTAATGGTCGCTGGAGATGATGGGGGGGAATGTCTGGTAGGAGACGGGAAGTTGTTGCATGGCACATGCCTGAATCAGCTGTGGGGAGAGACAGAGAGAAGAACAAGGGTCAGACACCCCTGCCCCCTCCCCAAGGCTTCCCAAGGACCCTGTGCTCCCAGAAACTTGCACTACAGTGGGCTTGGGTACCCACACAACCTCTGGGCACTCAAGGCCCAGGCTGTCCCCAGGCATCTCTCGCTGTGACTCACCGGGGGTGGGAGGCAGCAGAGCGGGTAGTGCTGTCCACTGAACATCACTGAGCATGCTGGGAGCTGCTGGGTGCTGCACCCAGGGATGTGCTGGCCAGCGTGGATGGGGAAGCCTTGCGTCGTTACGGTGGTAACCGTGTAGGAGAGAGGGACAGGTCCCTGGTGCACCTAAGGACAAGATGCCGAGGACACAGTCAGGATACAGCCCTGTCTGAGCTGTCCCTGTACTGACAGGGTCATAGCAGGATGCTGGGCACTCAGCACTGGGACGAAAAACCTAGCATGCCCATCCAGGTGTGGCCAGAGGAACAGGCTGAGTGACGGCTCAACTTGAGGGAGTTTTAGACCCTTCTTTGCTCCACACAGACAGGCTGACACAGCCTCCCACACATCACCATTACCATGGATTATCATGACAGTTGTTAGATGAACAACCCTACAAGGGGACTGTCCCCAGCCCCTGGGAGCAGGGACCACCCTGGACACACCCAGCAGGCAGAGGGACCCCAAGATTTATCTCGGAGAACCAGAGCACCAGCAGGCTCAGGGCTGGGTGATCCCAGCAGCAAGTGGCCAGAGGGGACCCAGGGACATGTCACCAGCCCAAGGAACACCATAGGATCACACTTAGGAGTGGGGTTGGGGGCTACAGCACCTACCTGGTCATGCAGATCCACCATGAATGGGTTCTGGTGGGGCGGGTGAGTGGCTGGGTGAAGCATTCGTGGCGGCGTGCTGGGAAGAGCGTAGGCGCGGGGCTCATCTACAGGGATGTGCGGCTGCTGGGGGAAGGCAGGGTGCACCTGGGGCTCATCCTGGCCCAGCAGGGTTGCCAGAGGTCGGTCGCGTCGTCCCCACTGACGCCTGGCAGAGGGGCTGTGGGGCCACCGCAGGAGAGAAACAGAGCAGGAGTGACCCCCCAAGCCAGAGGGGCACCACAGCCCCAGGGAGATGGCTACAGGAGGATCAGTGCCAGCCTAGTACCCAAGGTGAGATGCTCAGGGCATTGCGCCCAGGCCACATCAGGCTGGACAGCTCCAGAACCAGCTTCTCTGCTCACCCTGCAAGTGCCCTCTCCGTGTCCGCAGCATAAAAAGGACCCCTGCTCCCCAGGGACCCCTCATCTGGGCCAGGTGGATGTACTGCCCTGTCAATGTCCCCCCAAGCCCCACTGGGAGCCAGTGCCTTGCCCCAGAGCAGGACCAGAGAACCGGCCCCACATCCCCATGTGCCACGGGGGACAGGGCTCCACAGCCGCACCCCGTACCTTCGCCGGAGGTGGTCGGGGCTGCTGCAGGGTCCCCCCGAGAAACGGCGCTGGGCAAAAGGGGCAGAGGGCGGCCGCCTATTCACTGCCAGTTCCCATGGTCGCATTGGTGACGTCGGGAGGCGGATGGGCACACGGGACCTCAAGCTCCAGGCAGGGCAAGACACCAGCACCTTGAATTCTGCAAGAGGGACAGCGGGTCATGGCACTGTCCCGCCACCGCTCAGGCTGCTGCTCCATCCTCACAAGGATGGTGATGCTGATAGCTGGAGCTCTTGCAGCTCTTACCCCATCTCCTGGGGCTGGATATGGCCCTAAGAAGGGCTAGGAAGAGCCTGTCCCCAACCCTCTTGTTACTGTCCCTCCACTTCATGGCCAGAGTCACTACCCATGCACAACACAGACACAGAGAGAGAAGTACTTATTTTTGGCACAGAGGAAAGAAAGTGATGAAGAGCCCTGTGGCTGTGGCAGCATCCCAGCCTGCTCACCGGCCAACAGGGAGCCTGAGCATGGCATAGAGAGTTTCCAGCAGGTCCTTGATGATGCTCTGGGGGGGTGCTCTTTGTTGCTGAGCTCCTGCACATCCTACTCTGGAGTGACACTGCTGCCCCAGTGACGGGCGCAGGGGCTGATGGTGGCAGCAGAGCTCATGGCCCTTCTCTGTCGGGGCTGTGCATTTCAACTCCTTGCTGCAAACAGGGCGCAGCCACACATCCCCATGGAGCAGGGAACAAGCATGGGCTGTGCTGAAGCCAAGCAGGCAGCTCTGCTCCCCCAGCTGCTCCCCAAGGCAGTGGAACAGTGGGAACACTGCCCTGGCCCTGTTCCATCTCCCCTCCTGCACCCAGCCTGACTAGTGTTCCTCCCAAGACACAGCTCGACCCCTCAGCCCCAATGAAGCCTGGCACTGCGCAGAGGAAACATCTGCATTTGGGGCTGGGCTTCCCGAGGCTCTGCTTTCCCAGGTCCCAGAAGGGCTTTCCTTGGCTTCATGTGTATCCAAGATCCTCCCTGCGTACCCTTCCATTGCCCAGCTTCCTTTGGCCTCCACAGCACCCGGCCACCACATGGCAGCAGCCGTGGCCTTGGCACTGCAGCCCACACACCCCTAAATCCAGCTCACCGCAGGCTGGTGAGGTCCCCCTCAAAGCAGCTTCTTCAGCCCCACCTCCTCCTCAGTGCCCATGGCAAAGACACATCGGGGACAGGAAAGACACTCCGGGGACCTGGAGCTTGGGGAATGCTGCTCAGCAGGGAGATCTCAGCCCAGCAGGGAGAAGCTGCAATGTCACTTTTGGGTGATGGGTATCAACAACCACTGGGGCAAGTCCTGTACCGCACACAAGTCTCTTCTTAACCTCACCTTCATCTCCACACTACCGTGGAAGCTGAAAGCAAATTTCTCTCTTTGTTTTGGTAGGAAAAAGGAAGAAAAGCAAAAGCCACAGGCTGAGAACTTCCCAAAACCCCCCCAAACCCCAGGGAAAGGGGTGTGCCTGAACAGGAGGTTCCTTCCACATGGAGTTTATTCTGCCCACCTCGAAGCTCTGCCCAGCGGCAATATGCCCCTGAGTGGGCTGGGGGCCAGAATGCAGCAACAACCCACTCAAAATAAACCTCTCTGAGGTGTTACTGCTCCCAGTTCCACATTATCACTCTCGGACCACACGTGGTGCCAAGGCCCTGTGTGATCCAGCGGGCACCTTCCAGACCAGGCACCACAGCGATGGGCTTGGGGATGGGCAGCACGTCGGCAGAGGAACACTGAAGCCATACAGGGGTTCGCCTGCTCCTGAGACCTCCAGAGCAGGGAGCTGCCTACGCTCCTAGAACCCCGAGACAGCATCCTGAGGCAGGATGGCACTCCCGACTTGTGGGACAGTGCTGGCCGGCCCTCGTCCTGCCACAGCCAGCACCCATAAGGTACCCACCCTCCTGTCCCAAGCGAACACACCCAGCTCCCTCCGCACCCGTGGCTGGAAGCCAGCGGCCACGCGGAGCGGGGTGACCGTGACCCCGCGGAAGCCACCGCAGCTCCGAAGCAAAGGGGATCGAGGTCCCGCAGCTCCTCGGAGGGGCGGGGGGAGGCGGCTCCCGAGCCCCGCAGAGAACAAAGTTAGCAGCGCGCCAGCGCTCACGCCCGGTGCCATCTGCTCGGGCAGAGCCGGGCTCCGGGGCTGCCGGGGGAGCCGCCCGCCCCGGGGGTCCTGCCACGCCGCTGCCACCCGCCGCCGGCTTCGTCCCGGCACCACGAGCTCTCCCGTAGCCCTTTCCCCGTCGTTCCCACGCGAGCATCGCCAGCTCCACCGCGAGAGGGGGGTCACCGCTGGCTCCGCCGCACCGGCAGCCCCTTCGGAAGGGCGACCCGGACCCCCAAACCCCACCCCCAGACCCGACCCGAACCCGACCCTGGGTGTCCGGGACGGCGACGCACGGCGGGGAGAGCGGCACATCCCGGACCGCACCGACGGAGCGCCCCACCGTGCAGCACCCCGGGGAGGCACCGCGGCCACCGGCACCTGGGAGCGCACCCCAGCCCGCGCCCCCCGCCGAGGAGCCCTGCCGGTGCCGGTGCGGAGCTGTGGCTTTAAGAGCGACCGCTCCGGGGCCATGTGCTCGGCGCCAAACAAAAGCAATAACAAAGGCGGCCGCCGGACCCCGCCGCCGCCGCCCGGGGCAGGTGCTGTCGGGGGTCCGGGGGGCGGCCCCCGCCCCCGCCCCGCTCCCGCCCCCCCCCGGTCTGCACGTACCTGCACCGATGGCCTGGGCCGCCGCTCCGGTGCCGCTGCGGCGCCCCCGCCCCCTCCCTCCCGCCGCTCTTTGTTCGCCGACGCCGGGCCCGGGCCTGCCCCCCCCGCCGGCCCGCCGCCGGCCCTCCCCTCCCTCCCTCCCGCCCGCCTCCCGCCGGGCCGGCCCCCTCCCCGCCGCCGCTGTTTCCGGTGCCTCTTTGTTTTCCGCGGCGCGGGGCGGCCGCGGCGGGCCGGGGTGCGTGCGGGGTGCCTGTCCCTTTAAGAACCAGCGGGACGCACCGGACCGAGTCACAGCGCTCGGGGGCACCGGGGGCGCGCGCGGCTGGC